GTGACGATTCTCTCATTATCATGAACCTCGTTGACAATCCTGACCTTCCTCTCAGTCTGCAGGACAAAAACAACAGGATGCTCTGGGGTGAATTGAACAAGAAGCTTGAACTTCCTAGAATAGAGCCTTTAACGGTCACCCGGCTCACTCGAGGAAAGGATTCTAAGCATCTAAATCATCCGAGGCTTCTCCGAGTAACACTTAAGAATGCTGCCGACGCTGAGGACGTCTTGCTAGCAAGTCACTTGTTGAAATCCGGTGGTAACGTAAAAATATTGCCCGACATACCGTACTCTGAGCGCAATATCATACGGAACATCCATAAAGAAACTCGCGATCAGTTTTTCCGCGGAAGAAACATAATTGTGCAAGGTATACCGGAAAATGCAGACCCTGTAACAGCTTAGGTTGGTTGGTTAAGAAGTGACCCCAAACAACCAAGCATATGCTGAGTCCAACTTCTAGCAAGTTCACCCTTTTACATATATGCATTACAAAAGAGTATTTTTTTGTTTTCATGGTTTTTCGTGCACAAGATATCTACACTATGTCTATTCTCTTCCAGAACACCAATCCGTTCTGGAGACCAAGCACTTACAGGGAACCGAACAATTATCAATTACATTTATGTATTTCCATTTTGTATCTTATAATTTTATGCAGGCAGTGGAGCAGTTCTTCAAGTTTGCTTGATTTTCACCATTACCTTTGAAGTAGATTCTTCTTTACTGTTTACTTGAGGGCGACTCAAGAGGCAGGTGAGTAAACACCTGATAGCCGGTCTGAGCACGGAGAAATCGTACCTCACCAACATGGTGTTGGGTAGCCCGCTCGCGGCACTTCCTCAGATATTCTTATTCCACATTCTCAAACTTTCTCTTGAAAGCACGCAGCAAACCATCGGCGATAGTTGTAGGAGAAATCACATGCTACAAAACAGAATGACAAGCTAGTAAATGAAGAGACATCCATGGACTATCGTTGACAGCGTCAGTCGTCACTAATTGTAAATCAAACAGTGAGCGAGTTGATAATTTTCCCTTGGGATGAGAAATAGAACTAAGGCGTTTTCGATAGTGAGGTTAATCGAACCGACGTTCCTACGGAAGTCGATTCTAGGGGGAAGCTAATATAACAGCTTAGGTTGGTTGGTTAAGAAGTGACCCCAAACAACCAAGCATATGCTGAAACAGTATTGTTCAAGTATTCATTCACTTCCTTATTTTTTATAAGCGTTATATTCCCTATTATCTTATACTGAATGTTGAGAGCCTTTGTTTGTCTGAACAGATAATCCCATGCTCCACTGTCACCGCGCTAAGATCGAAATAAAGACCTATTCACTACTTGTCTGGTTTCTTCTATCAATAGCACGAGGGTTACTTCAAGGCACGAAAACCCTACTCAATCAAATTCTGACATCAGGTTATGGAAATTCATCAAACAGTCCTTGAGGCTCAAACACTTACTGATTCAGCATGTGACGAGACTAGCCAAGAAGGACGGTGATCCTAGACCTCGTCTAATGAAGATAACCTTCCATCTTCCCACATGACGGCTGTAGTTCTGGAAGCATTTCGTGCCAACAGACGTCGATTGCCACCTGGAATCCACATGCACCCGGATAGGCCATATGAAGCTAGGACCAAACACAAAAGCAAGTTGGAGCTGACCATTTCACTTGTGGACTGTCTAAATGATAAAAAAACGTGTAAAGGACAGGGCCTACCACCTCGGCAAACCTCATATAGGTGGGCTACCTGTCCATTCACATAAGGCTCATACAGAAAAACAGGACGAAGCTCACGCGTTCCAAATTGAAAGTATAAACTGCTTATAAATGAACGCCGCGAGTCTACCAAACAAACTGGATGAATTGCGTGAACTTAGCAACGCTAATAAGGCCCATCTGATAGGAATATCTGAAACCTGGATATCTTCTCAGTTCTCGGACCAAGAGTTAGCATTACCTGGGATGACTTTGTTCCGCAACGACAGAAAAACAGGAATTGGGGGCGGAGTAGCCATATACATAAGCTCTTGCTTGGAGGTGCACCAAGTTCACAACCTCGAGTTTAACAATCCTGGCTCCTCTGGGAAAGAGCGATCATGCCGTCATAGCCTTCAGTTTTGTCATCAAAACTAAGCTAAGGTATCCCAACAATAATTTGCGTTGGAATTTTAAACGGCTGAATGTGCCAGCTCTACATGACTATCTACAACAGGTGGTTTGGGATGTTCACCCTCAACTCGATGTGGATGGTCATTGGGACTTCTTACTGCACACGCTCTTATGTGCTACAGACCATTCAGTTCCTCAAACGGTTCCCAAAAGCTGCAAGCCACCTACAGTAATCAAGAACCGTACCCTTCGCCTGCTAAGCCGCAAAAGGCACTGTTGGGCGGAATACAAACGAACTAATAACGATGGAGCGTATAGGCAATATAAACATATCAGGAACATATGCACGAAGGCTATAAGAGAAGACAGGCTTCAGTACCAAACAAAGCTTATGGACAAATTCGCCTCTAACCCTAGAAGCCTATTCCGTTATGCAGCCTCTCTTCGTCAAGCCAAAACAGGAGTTTCTCAACTGGTAGGTCTTAACGGCCCGACCAACAACGATGGCGACGCCGCTAACCTTCTGGCGGCACATTACTCTCAAACATTTCAACCGGCTGACATCAACTTTACTGACGACAGTTTCATCTGCAATTCCACAGGACTTTCTGAAGTGGACCTAAGCGCTGACTTGGTGTTCCGGAAATTGCAGCACTTAAGACTAGACACTTCTCCTGGCCCGGATATGGTTCATCCTGCCATACTGAGGGAGGCAGCCTCAATCCTGGCAACGCCGCTTAGCGTGATGTTTTCACACTCGCTTAGCCGAGGCAAATTACCGGAAAATTGGAAGTTGGCTCACATCACACCAATTTTCAAAGGTGGTCGACGCAATGAACCTTCAAGTTATCGGCCGGTGGCTCTTCTGTCATTACCTTCAAAACTCATGGAGTCCCTGATATGCGACGGTTTAAATGACTATCTACTGTCCTTAAATTTCTTCTCACCCCAACAGCATGGTTTCAGGAAGGGTTACTCTTGTATAACCAACCTGCTGACTGCGGTGGACAGATGGACAAGCATCCTCGATCGCAAGGGAAAGGTTGATGTCATTTACCTTGATTTCTCAAAAGCTTTTGATAAGGTTAACCACTTGTGTCTTATCAACAAGCTCAAACGACTAGGTATCAAACCACCTCTAATCGATTGGCTTACTTCATACCTAAAAAATCGACACTTTAAGGTTAGGGTTAATTTCACTTTATCTCAGGCTATGGAATGTCCTAGTGGGGTCCCCCAGGGCTCAGTACTAGGGCCTCTTCTCTTCTTGATCTACATAAATGATCTTCCTCAACAGGTAACGTCAGACTTATTACTTTTTGCCGACGACGTGAAACTTTGGAGAGAGATACGCAACCAAGACGATATACAGGCACTTCAGGAGGATCTGACTCGACTTCAAAGTTGGGCAGACGATAACGGACTTACCTTTAACACTTCAAAGTGTAAAGTAGTCCATCTGCGACATGTCGCAAACTACAGTTACAACTTAGGAAACTCCTCTCTAGTAGTATCCCAAGTCGAAAAAGATTTAGGAGTCCTGGTGCCCCATGATTTAAAGTCTTACGCTAACTGTGACAAAAATGCCTTCCGAGCAAACCTTGCACTGGTAACGTTGAAGCGCATTTTTGGACAGTTTGACGGAAGAACTTTCCACACAATCTTCAATAGTTTCATCCGTCCCCATTTAGAGTACGGAAACATAGTACTCCCCCCTCACTCCAAAAGGACAAGGTCACTTTGGAGCGTATCCAACGGCGAGCCACGAAATCAGTTCGAGGACTCAAATCTAAGCCTTACGAAGAACGCCTCCGTTCACTAGACCTTTACCCATTAGAATATAGGCGTCTTAGAGGTGATTTATTAATGGCTTATAGTATTCTTAACACTTCTGGACATCCTCTTAAACACCTACTTAAGCTTAGTTCGAATAATAACCTAAGGGGTAACACCCAGAAACTGGAAACACAACATAGCAAGACGGAATGTAGACACAACTTCTACTCCTTAAGAGTTGTCAAAAGCTGGAATTCGCTGCCGGCCGAGCTAGTCCAAGCGACTTCTCAGGAGTCCTTCAAGAGGCAACTTGACCTATTCTTAAGGACCAAGGACAGCATCACACTATGATTTACCAATTTCTTTTCCTCTTTTATTGTTAACATACCTAGGTTCCTGCCTGGAGGATTTGGTGATCCCCTGCTACTAGACACGGAAGCCTGTTAAGCGAAAGCTTCTTCTATTCCGTCCACAACCATTTGAACCATTTGAACCATTTGAGGTGATCAAAGACTAAAGGTCGTGGTTTTTTTAAACAACAATTTTACAGTCGATAATGGTAATTACAAAAGTCATGGAAGTTAATGAAGAAAATGTGAATAATAACAAAACCCTCGCTAGAATCTTTTTATAATTTCTGTTTTTGGTAGGATATCATCTATGATAAGGTGTGTGCTACTTTTGTATCTGGTGAGTTCAGTGGGTCTGGTCTATTTAAGAGCTCTTTGAGGTGTTCTACTCACCTGTTTGACTTTTCTTGACGCTTACTGATTGGTCTTCTTCATTCAATCTTGATTGATTGCCCCAGTTTGCTGTATTTCACTGCAAACTGCTTGAATATGTCATATTGTCTCCATATTTCCTTATGTTCTACCTTAAGATACAACAGGATAATTATTCTGCTGAAGTTGCTCAGTTTTCTAGATATTCACGCTCGCCAGCTCTAATGCTCTTCAGTTATTTGTTTGCTTTTGTATATCGGGTCTTTACCTTGACTTCCTCTGCGCTTGTTCGACTCGAAGAACAAAACCCCACCTAAGTCGGCTGTTGTTGACTGTCTTCCTTTTTGTTTTTCCTCTCTTGAACCTTTCCAAGATTTTCTGGAGACCGACTGTTTGTTCTGGTGCTTCTTGAGACTCAACACCTCATGGGGTATTGAAGTTCTAGTGGCCAGATATCCGACTACAGCAATATCGCGTGATTGATTATTGTTGGAATAAACACATCACCAGTCCTCGTATGTAATTGTCGAATTCATCCGCGTTACTGAATAACGGAATTAAGTAATCCAAATACAAGAATGGGTTTTTGAATGTGCACACTCCCAATCTCCCTATTTTGGGTAAATTTAGGGTTTTTCCCCAAAGTTTTGTGCCATTTACTCTAAACGGATAAAATTTTCCCCATAATAAGGAGATTGGGTTTTGTACACTCATTGATCTAGACAGAATCAAGGGGATCAAGCGAAGAGAGCAAAGAAAAATGACACATTGGAGGTGTGTGAGCCGATTAAATTTAACCAGGCGTGAAGTGAGATTTATACTGGATAGGAAGTGCACACACAATTGCTGATATACGAAAACATTCGAAGCTGATAAGCGAATAATGTGACTCAAGGAGAATAGGTAAACTGACTTGTCCGGAAGTTAGAACAAGCTATGTGGGCTTAACATAGCAACTGACACTGCAAAGTTATTGCTTCCACAATCCCTTCCTAGTTCTTCATAGTCAGCCAAACTCAACATAAAACCTGGCGCATTTCTACAGCGATTCCTGTTACTACACCCTACTAGCAGAGCAAGATGAAAATGCCAGGGGAAATCCTGAAGTTGGAGAGGTAGTAACAGTATTAGTGATAATAAAAAGACCAGACCTCGAAGATACTATCTGAGATATAAAATCACTGAAATATGAAGGGAAAAACTATGAATAAGTTAGAAGCGTAAGATCTAAGGTAGTACAAAGTGTACATGTAACCGCGACATTACGATTGATTCTAAACAATGTCATTTAAAGTCTCTAACCATTGGTTACTATAATCACACGAACCCCAACCCGGTCGTCTGTTGTTCTCCACAGTGGTCTCTTCTAGTATGTTTTATGAGGCTTAGAACTTGCTTCTTAAACTCGTTATTCTTGTTAACATCTTGAATTAGGTCCATATTAAACCTTTACAGTGCTGCTTGTCCGATTGTCTAGTGCTTCTTTAGCTTAGCCACTAGGTGGTGATCTAAACCTGTGTCAGCTCCTCGTTTTTTCTTATGCTTCCTTTGGGCCCTCTGAGTTGTTTATCGGTGCATATCTGATTGATCTGGTTTGTTGTAGTGTAGTTCGGTGAAACCCATGTGGCTTCGTGTATACGTTTGTGAAGGGAAATGACAGCATTTATGAATATGTCACATGTACACATCTGCCAGTTTCTCACTATTTTTGCTCCTTTCTCTCGGTCTGTGTCGCCTCATGATGTCCTAATACTTAGTGTTATCCATGTTAAACCTGGTGTCTTGGTCCCCATCAGAATAGACGTATTTTCCGGGGTATTTCTCTAGGATGGACTTCAGCCTCCCATGATATTGGTTTTGCCATTTCCATTCCTATCATTGGTGAATGCTTAGCACTGGATGATATTCGTTGTGATCCCTTCCTTTTTTGTTTTGTGGGATACTTCGATGATCCTTGGGACTTGAGGTCCCCATCCTATAAGTGCTTTTCATGCTTGGTAGAACATCAGTGCAACTTTTTGTGTAGGTCGGGAAACTTTGTCTTCGTGTCTGTAACACGACAGCTCTCCTGAAGTTAGTCTTTTTCTCTTCAGATTGTGGTCAGTGGGTTACACATTTCTAGCACTGTTAGGTCGTATCTTCTCATTTTCGCTACCCCTCTGGTTTCCCACGTTTTCCAGACATTCAATTTATCTGTATTAATTGTTACTCTAGTCGTCAAAATGACTATCGGCTTCGTGACTACCGAGAAATATCATTTTTCACTACAAGGTATCATAACTGCTATGTATGAAGACCCTTCAACTCCTATAGGGTGGGAGTTTGAATGTTTTAAATGATTTTTTGTGATCAGCTTTTGTTCAAGCTAGGTTTAACTTAAGGGTTGAGGTTACAAGTCCTACTCCCAACCTCCCTTTATCTAAGCTTGGAACTGTGAGTAACCCTAAAATGCTCCAGCTTGATTTACTCAGTTAAGTTGCTAACCATTTATCAATCAAACACTCAGAATTTAGTTTCCTACAAAATTGGTGAGTCTGTCAGGATTGTTGTCAATTACCTTAATGAAATCCAAACCACACCCGCTTATTTCACAGTGTCACTGAGCTACCTCTTTTCATAGATAAGGTGCATCATTTAGACTAAACTACTAATTTGAGTATTCGATCGCGTTAAACGTATTGTTCTATCGGAGAAGGATTATGTATAAGGTCTGTTAGATCTAGTTGTAAACACTCGAACCATATGCTCTCTTTGTTAGCATATTATGTGAAGATCTAGGTTAATATATGCCCCAACAGCAACAGATTTTCACTAGTCCTATTTAGATTAATTACTTAAGTCGTTTGGAAGTTAGTTGTAAAAATGTAATTTCTGTAAACTTTAGTCCATATCGAAGACTGTGTGTATTATTGCTATATCTGCGACAGTACATTACTATCTCGAGTTCTCTAGCATAAAAGTGCATGTCATGACTTGTAAACATCAAGGCTTGGCAAGTGCAACTGGTGTGTCCGACCTCGTGTTTTTATAAGTTCATATTCAGATTTTTGTCCCACAAAATCGAACAATATTAAGCATTACATTCCATCAGCCAATCTAAGCTTCACTATAGATATCGACATTATTTTTGGTGATTAGATTAGTAAGTACTAACTCAGTAACTAGACTTTTCAATCTATCCTATGAAAAGCAAATAGCATTGGATCGCTGTTTAGCCATAGAAATGGGAGTGGTCTTATACTTACACCCCTTAAACGATGACTTAGGTTGTAATATGGTTTACCACTTTACTGCCTCTAAAAATAATTATCTCGCAGACTATCGAATAAGTTTAAAAATGATAAAGTAAACAGATTGGAATTCCAAATCACCTATTGTGCAGTCAGTTATTGAAACCTCAGAAGTAATGGTATCAAGTTCATCATTGACCTCCTCCAAAGCAAAAGTTAAAGTTAATCCCAGGACTAACCTACATATTATTCTTAATCCTACAAAACAGCTCACTGTAGGGCATTTCACTCAAGGTCTCTATTGTTTTCTATCACCACAGCGACATCTCACAGTAAGCTCACACCTTGCTACACAACTCAGACTGATAGTCACATACTTCAGTAGCCAATGTTATATTTCATTCCTGCTACGTTGAGTCGTTTCAAACCTGATTTTTCAGCTAACTGCACGAAATTGTAAACATCAACATAATTTCCATCTTTAAAGAGATGTGAAATCAAATCCTGATGTCTTGCTATTTTTCCATTTCTGATATTTGTCGTAGCCCGACCGTTGTTGCTATCTTGACGTGGTGGTCGGGTTTGCCTATCGTGATGAAGCAACCGAGCTATGCTGGCTGGAAAAACCGTTTTTCTAGGTCCTACCATGTCAGACAGGTCGGTTGAAGGGCGGTAAGACTAAAAGCAACAAACCCAAGGTCCGAAGGCGAAGTTGTACTGCTGACTGTACAGAGGTGTGACAGAAGTAAGGTGTTTCGTTCAGACAACCAGCATGACAGCGATGCTGCCTTCCCACAAGGAGGGGTGGGGTTAGAAAAGGTCGACTCTAAAAATGCACACCTCGCCTTATCCCACGGATATCCGTCTCCGGCGGTAAGGTCTCAATAAGTACAGAGCTAACACAAAAATTACCCATAAAAAGGTTGTGTGTGACCGACCTCAAGCAGTTGTCCCTTGGGCATTGCGGTCACGCTGCCAGGTCACTAAGACCACCTCTAATCCAATTTCCTTTTCAGGTACCTCCATCTATCAACCAAAGGACGTGTTTACTGCGCAGCAGTTCGTCCCGTCCTTCTTCATGGCAGTGAAACATGGCCGGTAAGAGTAGAGGATATTCGTAGGTTACTAGTATTCGATCATACGTGTCCTCGAAACATTGTTCGTATATCATGGGACCGTCGAGTAAGTAACACAGTTGTTAGGAAACGGGTACTAGGTAAGGATGGCAAATCAATTAATGAAGTAGTGAAACTTCATCAGTTGAGATGGCTGGGACACGTGTTACGTATGCCCAACGACCGACTGCCTCGACGTGCTATGTTCAGTGGTATAGAAGTAGGTTGGAAGAAAGCTAGGGGCGGCCAAACCAAAACATGGCACAAGTCCATGAAGTCACTGACAAGTGGACTGAGTCATGTTGGTAGGTGTAGACTACCTGGTTGGGGACCACGAGATGATAGCAACCGATGGTTAGAGACCCTGAATGACATGGCTCAAAATCGTTTGCAATGGCGCAGGTGCATCCACTCTCTGTGTTCTCCCAAATTCTAATCTTCTGAATTCTTCATGTCCCTTTTTTCCTCTTTCCAAATTTATTTCACTGGATTATACTCTGTAAATAACATCTCCAAACCCTAATCTTCCCGATTACTGCTTATACTCTTATTACCTCTACCACTACGGGATTTGAATCGACAACTGCATCTCTGTGCTAATGTGGTGTGGCAACTCGAACTGATGTACGTACGTACGAAGTTCTACGTTGTTACTGACTGACTGACTGACCTCCAGAACAACCCTTCCACAGTGTGGGCAACCGGGAAGGGAAAACCGCCCTCATACCTCTAACGGCACTCAAGACCACTGTATTTATCATTTGCCGTAGCCTTATAAACTTCAGTTGGAATCGAAAAGACAAAACCACGACCAGATTGTTGTATCACAGGGATATAGATTGCAAGTGCATAGAAGTTGAATCGCTTCGGTTTGCCTTGCCAAACGTTTTGGTCTTCTGAGATGTCGAGTGCCGTCTGCATCGGTAATAGTCACACTGATCGTATTCACTCAGTCAGTAACAACGTAGAACTTCGTACGTACGTACATCAGTTCGAGTTGCCATACCACATTAGCACAGGGATGCAGTTGTCGATTCAAATCCCGTAGTGGTAGAGGTAGTAAGAGTATAAGCAGTAATCGGGAAGATTAGGGTTTGGAGATGTTATTTAAAGAGTATAATCCAGTGAAATAAATTTGGGAAGAGAAAAAAAGAGACAAGGAGGAATCAGGAGATTAGAATTTGGGAGAACACAGAGAGTGGATGCACCTGCGCCATTGCAAACGATTTTGAACCATGTCATTCAGGGTCTCTAACCATCAGTTGCTATCATCTGATCGTATTACTCTTTGTGTCAGTCTGTTTACCAAATATAGACGGTTATAGACTTATAACTATTCAATTCCCTGTCCATATCTTATGTTATTAGCCTCTGCTATTAATCGTTTCATAACCTCCTGGCCGTTCTTATTTCTGCGTGCTTTATCTCGGTTGTTCAGAACGAGTCTTCACATATGACTGGATCCGAATAATGCTGTTGAGATTCACTGGATTTGAATAACTTTCGACCTTATGATACTATATATAAGTTTTTTACTGTCGAACAAATGTTCCTTAGTTGTAGTACTAATTTTTAATCAAATAAACCCTAAGCACCAACTGTTCTTAGTCCTCATTCAAATAAATCCGCGCCAGCAATGCGTTTTAGTAACCGAATACAAGTTCGTATAATTGGAATTGGTCTACCGTTTTGGTGTGACGGTTGGTGATACTACCCAACCAATCAAACTGCAATAAACAAGGAGTTAAAATGTTCATTGCTTCCACTATCAAGTCACCGTTCCACAGCAGTAGGTGACTGAAGTCCAGACTGTCATTTAAAAAAAACAAATTTCTCACGTATTTTCTCTAATAATGGCTTGTGTCGATAAGGCTTATCTATATTTGTTGTTGTGTTGGTAATATATCACCCATAATGTTGAAAATAGTCATCAGAGGTGGTTGACTGATTCGAACTACACAAAATGATCCCCATTATTAATTAGCTAAACTTGGTAATTACAGCATCCGACTCCAAACCACTTAGTCCCTGTTATTTTTTATTCGACCCTACTTTCTTGACAGGTCCAATCTTCTGTGTAGTTTAATCTGTACCGTTTCTGATTATCTAGGAATTTGGAGCTATCCAACTTTCGTATTAAAAAACTAGCTACTCACAATGGCGATTCTTGATGGTTTATCTAAATGCATTACTGCCGTGTCATATGCCCTGATTTTGGTAAGTCTTTGTGAATTAGTTTCTTTTTTTCGATTCAGGTCGCTTCGGTGATACTTATAACTGTTGGGGGGAGCATACTTGTAATTGCTGCGCGTTACAAACACGCTGTGACTGTAACAAACTTACAATTTCCTGGTTATATTGTGCTTGGCACAGGTTTATTGCTTATGTGTGCTGGAGTGATTGGTTTCATAGCCTGCATCAAACATAATCGCTGTCTACTTGTGTTGTTGTACGCATTGTTGCTCACTATTTTACTATGTGAAATGGCTGTTATCATCGTTTCTATATTTTACTGGCCAAAAGTAATGCATATTTTTGAAATTATTTATCGTTTCTAGGTTAGAGAACAAATAAGTGAAGTTCTTCATGAAGATCTGAGGATGTATAATAAAGTTGCTGAAGTTCGACAGATTGTCGATTTAATCCAGTCAAACGTAAACTGAAGTTTTGTAAATTCATCCTGTATTTTAGTTTGAGTGTTGCGGAGTGGAAAATCGATCAGATTGGAAATTTTACAATGATAGCAGTTATCCTCAAAGTTGTTGTAAAAATCGTCAGTTAGAAGAATCGTTTAGCGATAAAGAGTGCATCTATCATCAGTATGGCTGCCTTAATTTCTTGGAACGTGAAGTTAAAAGATATTTGGGTTATGTCATTGGATCTGCATGTACCTTTTTCTTGTTGCAGGTTAGTTCATCTTCTAAACTTCTTTTAAAGTTTATTCGGATTTGACTGTCATTGGTTTTTAATATAGCATAAAAGAGTTCATTGCTTGACATGTCAGTTATTTGACATCACTGTCATCATGTCTTTTCGAATGCATACTGCCAGATCCTACGTTACTTATGACTAAGTCAAAACTAATGGGGATGTATAGGTTAATTTTGTAAAGAGTAGATACTTCTGTGAATAAAATTCGTAAGCTGAGTGTTGTAAGATACTTATCTCTCGGAATCTTACATCCTGTTTAGATCTATAATGCTTCGTATTTTGATTTATTCTAGATTTATTTATCTTATATCAATAGATACTTAAAAACTTTCAAAGGTGATAATAAGGGCCGGGACACAATATAAGAAAATTTTCATAGGCTCAGCTTGTTTCGCTTTCAAAATACGCAGGCGATTAAATGAATCCAAGCTCACATCCTTTAGTTTTTCATTTGACCGTTAAAATGTTTATGTTAAAGTCCTTTTGTTAGGACTTCACTCAATTCCATCTTTGCGTAAACTGTTCGTCCCCTTTATCAAATCAATATAAGAGGAATTACGTGATATCAATTATCTTTTTAGAGCTGTGGCTTAGTGGTTTAAGGCGTTTAGTTTTCTACCCAAAAGTTTGGTTCGCGCCCTGTCTAACCCCACTGCTCGAATGGAACAATGGAGAAAGGTGGTTGTATGCCCTCACTCTACCTGAGGTGTTTGTATATAGGGCTTTTAGGATGTTAATAAACTTCTCAGGCACACCCTTCTTCAATAGACAATCCCAGAGAACAGTCCTGTCCGACGAATCGAAGGCAGCCCTGATATCAAGAAACACTACGATTGTTAGCCTGTGATAAGTGTGACGGTGTTCTAACATTTGGCGGAGGGTGAAGATATGATCAATACATCCTCGACCAGATTTATTTATTTTATTTTAACACAGATATTGGTACAAGGAGGCACCAGATACATATTTGCCACACAAATCTCATTTGATTTGTGCAAGGGCTGTGATACTGCCCGGGTGCCCAAACCGAATCAGGTGGTTTTCTTAGGGGGCCACGCCCCGAGCCTTCGACCTAAAGGTCTGATCCACAAGGCAGTGGAGCATCGTAAGGAGATGCCGGACGTTCGCTTTTCGTCCTCTCAACTTCGTAAACAACACCCCTGCCACGAGAAGGCAGTGAGTAGGACTTCCTTGGCAGAGGCTGTATACGCGTGGCCATGTGAGAGCATTTCGAGAGGGAGAGCGGTCTCTCCTCACTCTCGGCCGTACCAGGGCATTTGGGGGCAGAACGAAAACCAGCGTGCTCCCCGTTAGTCAATCTCGGGCTTTGAACGACCTATGACGTATGACGGAAGCCAACGGTTTGGTCGCGATCGGAAGTAGACTTATCCCCCGATAGTTGTTACAGGAACGACGTGAACCCTTTTTAAAAATAGGGACAACTACCAATTCGTTCCATGATGTTGGAACACTCTCTAGCTCCCAGACCTTTGTAAACAACGTTGTCAGTTCCTTAACCAGAAAGTCACCACCATCTTCAAAAAGAGCCGGCGGTAAGTCATCTGGGCCCGGTGGTTTGTAGCGCTTTAAGAGTTGGAGTCCCTTACGGACTTCCGCCTCATTTGGTGGATCAGTCGTCACCGGCCATGGAAGGCAGGACAGTCTGATGGATGTTGTCAGAGCAGCAGGCCAGTTGAACTACCCATCGTCCAAGACGTCGATGGATAGTAGTGATTGGCATCCCGTCAGCCTGTACACCTAAAGTGCATCTCACACCCAAGTGCTTGGTGAATGAGTTTATTTAGTAGTTTTATTTGTTTTTATAGGTAATCTAGCTCCGAATGGTAACTAAATGTGTTTTGCCAGGGTAGTCCTACTCACTGCCTTCTCGTGGCGGGGGTGTTGTTTACGAAATTGAGAGGACGAAAAGCGAACGTCCGGCGTTTTAACCGTGTTGGTGGACATGGAGAGTCTACCTAGGGGAGTTGGAAAACCTGATTCCAATCCAATGGTGCACATGGGCTTCAGTATCCTGAGGGAACAAATGGCGTATGAACCAATCGTTGGTCACTGGCTACCACGAGATTGCATCTCCTTACGATGCTCCACTGCCTTGTGGATCAGACCTTTAGGTCGAAGGCTCGGGGCGTGGCCCCCTAAGAAAACCACCTGATTCGGTTTGGGCACCCGGGCAGTATCACAGCCCTTGCACAAATCAAATGAGATTTGTGTGGCAAATATGTATCTGGTGCCTCCTTGTACCAATATCTGTGTTAAAATAAAATAAATAAAAAATAAATGATGTGTAATTATCATCTTGGAATTCATACCAATCATGTTCAATCGGTGTTTGATGAAACGTTGGCAGGTATCGAAACCAGAGTTTTGGTTTTCCCATCTTGCCATCGCTTGTGGCGTAGGCGATATCTCTGTGTACTAAGCAGGGCGAAAGTATGCTATGTAGCAATTGGCTGTCTTACTTTATGGTTGTGAACTGCGGCCTTTAAAAGTAGACGGGATTTGTAGGTTACCGGTATTTGATCATAGGTGTTTTCGAACTATTACTCGCGTGGTGGAACCTCAGAGTTATGTTGAAGCTAGACGTAGAGTACTTGATAGGGGTATAAAATTAGTTGATCAGATTGTGAGTCTTCATCTTACTGAGATGGGTGGCATACACATGTTACGTATATTTGGTTACTATGTATCTTGATGTACAATGTTGGCTTGCATAACAGTAGAATGAAAGAAAGCTTTGCAGAGCCAGACTGAAGCGTGAAATTAGTCTAATATCTTAAGTGATACGTAGAAAAAATATGTGAATGAATAGATCACACACAATTAAATGTCGTTGGTAATCTAGTTAAGTCGAATTCTGGTTATCAGGTCAGGTTTTCAATCTCAGTACCAAAACAGTCAGATATCGTACAAATATTTCTCGGTTATAGTTTTCACCGTTAGCGTTCGTTTTGTGAACATCAAAAAGCAAAAGAAAACTGGAAGAACAGCTAGAAGTGAGAGCAAAAATAAAAAACATAGAATAGTAGAATGTTCTAAATTTGTAGAAAGATCATAAATAAAGTTATTTATTTTTGTTTATAAGCCTCATCACTCAAAATCTTTGTCAGTAGCTAGAATTTTCTTTTGGATATTAACTAAGAAGCTAAGGAAGCCCAAAGTTCAAGTAATTGACTTCATCAATTAACGTATGATCTCGGTCTTCTGGAGCAAGTGTTTGAAGCTAGTTGGTTAGATTTCTCTATCTAGAGAATTGCTTGGTATATCTAGAATATAAATTATTGCAGTTAGCTTCTTTTCATTTTCTGTTATTGTCTAATTAAAAGAATAACTTTACCCTAGTAACAGGCTTCAATTTATTTATATTTGCAGACTAATGGTAGAACTTATATTTGGACTAATCTTTGGTCGGTGCTTGACAAGATTTCTGTAAGCCTAGCATCCCTGAAAATCCAGCTGTGAAGTTTTTAAGATTCCGGTCACTACTAGGTTTTAAAAGTTTGAGCAAAATTGAAGGTCTTACTAGTCTTACGAAGTACTACCGTCTAAAGAACTAACGCTGACACCTTAGAAATATATTATTCGCAGTTTCAGTGTGAACACTATGCTATTTCTAGAAGGGGGTGGTTGCGGGAAAGAATTTGTTTGGAGTATTGCAATATCACGATAGCTACTGACTTAATAAGTCTTGGGTATTGGTATTCAGTAAATAATTGTCAAAATGTTAGTTTTGAAATATTTGTTATTTAATTATTCCTACTTTGTGTTTTTTTTTTACTAGCTTATCGGTTTGCACAGCATGTGCGTTGTGATTTGTCGGTCTCAGTCAATCCATCGTTGGCATAATGAGGGTTATATTAGTATATAATCTGTCGTGATTAAGTTTATGGTTAATTTTGGGTACCGAAGTGTTTTGTCTTCTACAAAGGAGGTATATTGGACTCGTAGTGCTCCATACCTAAGCTAAATACCCTGCTTCTTTGCACATATGTCATTCGTTGATTTCATTGACAGAGACCATTCAGGAGGACTATCGTACGCTTATTCATTTTATTGTTTATAATTCCCGATATATTTCATCATCAAATACATTAAATTGTTAAATAAACTAAAAATTTTACTATGATGTGACGGGGGTATAATTTCACTACCTTTTACCTTAGCAACTTTGGTGGACAATTAATAAAGTTAGAAAAAGTAGGAATTCTTTTCTTACAGACAGATAACGGTGTTCGTTCGTCTGATAATTTTAATTCTTATATGAAGTTGACAGTAAGGGGTTTTAGCAGAGGCTAGCAAACGGTAAGAAAAGGCATATGTTGTGGTAGCTTTTATATGACTGGTCTCTTGAGTACTCATTCCGGCTAGCTCTAAACCCAATGTTTGGCACCGCCATACTTATCAAAGGCCAACAATCGTAGTGTTTCTTGACATCAGGGCTGCCTTCGATTCGTTGGATAGGACTGTTCTCTGGGATTGTCTATTGAAGAAGGGTGTGCCTGAGAAGTTTATTAACATCCTAAAAGCCCTATATACAAACACCTCAGGTAGAGTGAGGGCATACAACCACCTTTCTCCATTGTTCCATTCGAGCAATGGGGTTAGGTAGGGTTGCCCAATCTCACCATTTCTCTTTAACTTTGCCATCGGTGACATTCTAGAAACAGCTCTGATGACTGTAAGTAATGGTGGTGTGGATGTCTTGCCCGGAGAAAGACTTCTCGACCTTGAGTATGTGGATGACATTGTCTTACTGTGCGATAATGTCCAAGCCGTGAAGTTTGCAATTAATTAGTTGGCAATCAGTGTCCGTAGGTACGGTATGTGATTTGCACTTTCGAAATGCAAAGTACTTCTACAAGACTGGCAGGATTCTAATCCTGCACTCACCCTGGATGGTGAGCAGATAGAAGTAGTCGAGAAGTTCGTGTATCTAGGTAGCTGCATAAGTGCTGGTGGGGGTGTGAGTGATGAGATCAATGGACGAATAGTGAAAGCCAGAGTGGCTTATGCCAATCTGGGCCACCTTTGGCGCCTTCGTGATGTTAGTCTGGCTGTAAAAGGTCGGATCTACAACGCATCGGTGAGAGCAGTTTTGCTCTATGCTTGTGAAACCTGGCCTCTCCGAGTTGAGGACGTTAGATGACTCTCTGTGTTCGATCATTGCTGTCTCCGAAGGATTGTTGACATCCAGTGGTAACAACATGTTAGTGATGCAGAGGTTCGGCATCGTGTGTTCGGGCACAGAGACGATAATGCAATTGGTGTCACCATCTTGAAACACCGACTTCGGTGGCTTGGACATGCTCTACGAATACTCTTTAAATAACATCTCCAAACCCTAATCTTCCCGATTACTGCTTATACTCTTATTACCTCTATCACTACGGGATTTGAATCGACAACTGCATCTCTGTGCTAATGTGGTGTGGCAACTCGAACTGATGTACGTACGTACGAAGTTCTACGTTGTTACTGACTGACGTCCCAGAGAATTCCACGTCGTGCATTATTTGCCGACTCTGGGACTGATTCGAAAAAGCGGAGAGGTGGTCAGTGCATGACAAGGTGTCGTGGTATGAAAGAACGCTGTAAAGGTTTGGCTTGTGTTGGTCCTTCACGACTTCCTGGCTGGGGTCCGAGAGATGGTGCTACACAGTGGCTAGAGACGTTATCAGATATGGCTCAGAATAGAAGCCAGTGGCGATCCTTCTTTTACTTTCTTCATAAAAAGTGGTTGTTTCTTCCTTAACTGAAAGATCTCTTCTGATTGTACCTTTCCGTTCGCTCATTATTACTATTATTATTACTACACTACCTTACACCAATCTCTTCGTTATTGTCCTCTTTTTTTTACGCTCCTTACATTTTTTTCTCTCTTCGAATTCCCATTGTTTTGTGTGGTGCATATATATTGGCGCTCTCTTGTACCAGTATTTATGTGTTCAAATAAATAAATGTTTGGCAATAAGAGCATGATAGACTGATACGACAATGACACGTAACAGTAGATAGCTGTCTAGTATTACCAAGTGAACTGAAGTCCAAAAGCACAAGGTTAGTAAAATTAATACTGAGAAAGACGGATAGGAAAATTATTAACAGTTCATGTACCTTAGTGCTACCATTCACCTGATTGATATCCACGCGCAATCCTTAGTGTCCTGGTGTGGCTGTGGGCAAGAACAGTTCACTCTCCTTCTCGAAATGCTCTCATATGATCACGTGTAAACAGCCATTGTCAGGGAAGTCCTACTCAGTGCCTCATGGAGGCGGGGGTGTTTTTACAAAATTGAAAGGACGAAAAGCTGATATCCGGCGCTTTAGCCGGATTGATAGGTACGGAGCATTTACCTAGGGGAGTTGGAAAACATATTCCAACCAGTGGTGCACATAGGCTCCAGGATTTTGAGAGAACGGATGGCATATGAACCTATTGCTGGTCACCGGTCACCGTGGGACTGCATTTCCTGACGTTGCTCCACTGTCTTGTAGTGTTCAGTACTATGTCAATCCGACGTGGTTATTCTAGTTTTCGGATAGACCAATTTATTCATTCTCGAGTCACATTTTGACCTTGACTGCTTTTATATGATCGTGGTGTCAATCTCTTACCCTATTCATCACATTTCTTTAGCTTATTTTTGTCCGTCTTTAAATATTGAATCATGCTTGATCTGCTTCGTTTCTCAGATTGTCTGCCTGGATCAACGAATGTATGTAATATACGTATTCAGAATTTATTGTGGTATTGATATATTTTATTCCATTATTCTTTGACACGAATGAAGTCGATAATTATATACAAAGGTGGCCAAGTTGTATACTTCGTTAACATCATCATATGGTCAAATTGGAGTCCTGTCAACAGGGCGCAAAAACCTCTAGATCAAAGGTTCGGTGAGTAGCTCTCTAAAAAACTACCTACTTTGGTTCGGGCGTCTGGGCTATATCCCAACCCACATACAAACCAAATTATGACTACTATTGGGAAAAACCATTCGCGCCTTAATTTCAGTCCTTGCAAATCATGCAAAAACATCTTGTTAAGACTCGTTTTCATTTTGAATTGCATCACTTGTCTATTCCTCTATTCCCATTTTGTATATCCCTATATTCAACTTCTGTAGCAGCTTGTCTATGGCGGAAACCTTGTCCGATCTAAACGATCTCAAGTTATTGACTGGTTGAAAGTTGAGCGCTACCAATGAATACGAATTCTGAACCAGCCTTTCTGAAACCACATATGCCATTCAAACTGGCCTCCAACGTTCGCACACTAATGGAGATCGGACAACAGACAGGGTTGGGTATGCTTTTAGAAGTTCTCAACATCGATGTCTGCTGTCTATCTGAGACCTGTGTTCAAGGTCCTAGTTAAGTACTACAAATTTCCTCTTCGAGAAATGGTTTCACGTGCGCTTAACCAAGGACGCTGTGGCATCTTAGTCTGGTTTTTCTGGCTCTCGTGTCACATTAAGCTTCACAGCTGAGACAGCACAAATCGATTGGGTCTCCTTTGACAGTCGGTTATGTGCTGTTAGATTAGGAAGCTCCATCAAAGTGTGGAAAATTATGTATGAGATAGGATGTCTTTTTGACATCTCCGTCTACGCATCGACAGACTGCAACCCAGATGTGATCAAGGATGAGTTTTACTACCATTTAAGTGTTCTTTTACGTAAAGTGCGTTCGACAGATATTGTAGTACTAGTGGAAAATTTCACTGCGCAGTTCGAGCGTCTAGTCACAGGAGTCGTTTGGGTGGTCAATGGTCTTACTTCAGATAACAGTGATCATCTACTACGACTTTTCTCAGACCACAACCTGTTTCTGGCTAGCACTAACTATCGTCACAGTCATCGCCGACCTGTACTCATATTGATCACATCGTGATCAGCTACCGCTGGCGTGGTTGTGTACAGTACTTCCACTCATTCTGACATACTTATCTAGACTCTGATCACGCCTTTGTTTACGCTAATCTTATCTTACGTTTCAGTAGCGAACAAATTCATCTCCCTAAACAGATCTATTTCGTCAAATTGAGGTTAGTAAAAGTTGCTCAATTTCACCATTCCTTTCTAAATTTGTCATCGATGACGTTTTAGAAATAGATCTGACGGATCCAGATGGTAGTGTGGATCTGTTGTCTAGGAAAATACTTCTATCTTGAGTATGTGGATGATATTGTCTTGCTATACAATGATACCCAAGCCATGTAATCTGCAATCAATCAGTGTTCATAGGTATGGCATGTGCTTTGCACCTAAGCAGAAAGTACTTTTGCAAGACTAACAAAACTCTGAACCTTCACTCACTCTTGGTAGTGATCAGATAGAAGTAGCTGGAAAATCCGTGTATCTGGGTAGCTGTGTAAGTGCTGGTGGTGTCAAGAATAATGAGATCAATTCGCGTATAGTGAGAGCCAGAGCGGCTTATGCCAATCTGAATGGTCTTTGGAGCCTTCACAAAGTTGGTCTGGCTGTAAAAGGTCGGATTTACACTGCGTCAGTGAGAGCGATTTCCCTCGGTGCTTGTGAAACCTAGTTTTCCGAACTGAGGACACCAGATGACTCAGTGTTTGATCGTCCTTGTCCATGACGGACTCCTGGATTCCAGTGACAACATCACGTTAGTAATACAGAGTTTCGCAATGTGTATCCGGGGAAGACGACGATAATTCAATTAGTTTCGCTACTTTGAAATATCGATTTCGACGGTTTGAATATGTCTTGCGAAGGTCGTCTTAGTAGATTTTACATCGTGGATTATTTGCCAATGCTGAGGCTGGTTCGGAAAAGAGAGGTGATCAGTACTTGACATGGTTCCGTGGTTTGAAAGACAGCTGTTTAAGATTGGCTTCTGTTGATCATTCACGACTTTCTAGTTACGGTCCTAGAAGATGGTACAACACACTGGCTAAGAATGGAAGCGAGTGGTGATCCTGCTATAAATTTCTTCATAAAAGTTAGAGTAACTTCTTTAACTGAGAGAATTCGTTCTGGTTGTATTTTCCCCCAACTGAACTGCTTCCATTATTATTATTATTATTATTATTATTATTATTATTCCACTCTCACACACTTTTCTACTCATTGTTCCTTTTTATTATATTCTCTTTCCTTTCTCTATCTTTTCACAACCTCAATTTTATTTTGTAGCGCATATATATTTGACTCCCCTACGTACCCATGTTTATATCTTCACATAAATAAAAGGTGAATTGACATTGACCTTCTAATATAGCAAAGCTGAAGGCATTATCGTTAACTTGAAACAAATGGGAACAAATGGTTAATATTGGTCCACTTATCAAACTTACGGAGATAGTAGTTTGTTTTTGGGAGATGGATCTTGTTTTAATGGCCAATTTTCTTAAAGAATTCGCTATGTTGAAAATAACAGAAGTTTGCTCGTCTTATTCTTGGTAGGATTATTGTTTTAATCCCAAATAGAGAAGGATATGGAAAAAAAACACAGAATATGGAATCATCCAACTCAGAGTGTGAAATTGGTTATTTAATTGCATCATTATCCTTGTTTTTTAATATAGAGTTCGGTTTAATGGTTAGAGTAAAATTATATTTTTTTTACATCTATGGAGATTTAATTGTCTCAGTTGTGTGAGTAGCGTACTCTGCAAACTTAAACGTCTTCCTCATTAATCACAGGTGACGTCAAATGCGAAACACTGCTTTCTGTTAAAGTCAGTGAACTGATAGCCAATTTGTATGTAACCGTTCGTGTAGGAGAAAAAAGTTACAGTTCCGTAGTTTTCTGATATTGTCATACGTAATAAAAGACTCTGACCACTTGATATAAGCATGGGCGAAAATCGTGAAGCTTTGTGCCTCGACTGATTATACGATGTTTTAAGAAGCTGTTGAAAGTAACGGTAAAGTTTTGTAATTGATGGGGGCAATAACAAAATTGGGATTATTGATGGACTACACACAGGTTCTGGAACGAAAGAGGACTAGTCACATCGAAACACAGAAAGAATATTATATGAAATGGGTTCCATATATCATCCTATCGCCCAGCGGATAACTGAGCCCTTCTGACTATCAAGAAATCAACTTCTTAAGCACTCCTTGCAAAATTCCTGTGTCTTCTTCACATGGGTTCTTTTTCTGTGGAAACTCCTCAAAGTAGCTATGTGTTATGTGTTCACGTTGATATAAACCAGACAGGATGTAGAATCTATGTGAAAATAATATGTCTAAGCACATTTATCCAGAATTACAGACTAGGTTCTCAATTTGCGCTTTACTAAATCTCAAGGACAAACATTTAATCTCCGCTTTGAGGCACCTACAACTACACAGAATATGTTTTATCACTCGAAATTATATATAAAATCGGGACTTAATTTCTTGGCAGATATTTACCTAAATATATTTCGAGCGTAGAAGCAGATACTTGTGTATGCCATGGCCCTAGTTTTATCGATACTTATTTTCCTTAAATTATGAGACGGTTTTTAATCTTTATGGCTCATAAATTATTGTTCCCTTAGTTCATTATATGATAATATTCTCATTCGGATATCCCTATTTTCTTGTCGTACCGTCTTTCACAATGACCTTTATTCGCCTACTTAAGAAAAATAATCGTACCATGGTTTTTCACCATTTAGTTGTCCTTGACCTTTAACCATTTTTGGCTTCCTATATTCTCTAACCTGTCTGAAATTTTAAAGGCTAATAAGGAAATCTAAACAAATGAATAATGAGAAAGGGCTTTTGTGGAGATATCAGTAATTTAATAGTTGAGTTTATTACTCGATTAAAGCTAGATCACTATGGTAAACCTGGAAGCACCGGGCGGCCGTTTCGTCCCAGTATGGGGCTCCTCGATAGTGCGCATCCACGATCCTGTTCGCGGGATAGACTCATGAATTCAAGTATTAAATTACTACGATCTCCTCGAAACCTTTTTTCTGATAATAACCATCATGTACTCACTAGTGACTGGCTTCGAAATGTATTTCCCGGAGTTTTACTGAGAAGCCGTGACCAGTGGATTGATTGAAGTTAGACATTAACACCGTTGGATGCCAGTCGGCTCACTGGTCTAGAGGTTAGGCGTCCGCGCGCGCGATCGAAGGTTATAGGTTTGAATCTCGAGTGCGACATCGTGGGTGTGCGCTGCTGAGGAGTCCTATGTTGGGACAAAACGACCATCCAGTGGTCCCAGGTTTTTCATGGTGATCTAGTTTCAATGGACTCATGAATTTAACTTAAATGAATAATCGCTGTAATATTTTACTAAGGATTACAATACTAAGATGTACAATATAAACGATAACTTTGGATTACTATAGACACATAACATTGAAGGTTGTATTACGTTTACAAGCTGTGCGTATTTGGAAAATTGTGTAAGGCTAGTGAGAATTTAAAGTATGTTGAGAATTGTGTTAAGTTATGCTAAAAGTTCTGACAGTTATGTTTTTTTTATTAACGCGTGTAATATTAATTTACTTCATGAATACTTGTAAATCAGATATTTCGTTAGACCGATCATTTGATTCTTATTTGAAGGTTTGTAAATGATGCTTACAAAAATAAAGAGTTGGGGTTTTGTTTAATTAATTTTGGAATTCGTTGTGTACCCACCTTAATCCACTGAGATCGGAGTACTAATTTCTAGGGCAGTCTTGTCAATTTATATCCATTGATATGGATTTATGATTTTAGCGTTCGTTATTATCACCTAGTATCATCAGAATTCAAATTTCCCTAATAAGAGTTAGTCAGGTTCATAGTTTATAGTTTCATGTGTGAGCTAAAAAACTTATTACTAGTACAATCTACTATTTAGAGATAGCTTACTGAGTGACCGAATGGTTTTAAAGATTTCATTTCAGAATTTAAACAAGAAGCTCATAATTTTCTTAATAGTGATAGATCTTAGGTAGGGACAATGACAAAACTGAGTAATGAAGGATTTTTCATGACGATAATGACGCCTTAATTCTAAGAGTGGTCATGAATCAAAAATTTCTTTGGTAGATATATATTGTAATTCCATCTTTAAAGGATAACATAAAAAGGCTTGTACGAATTTGCAGAATAAAGAAGAGCGCACTAATGACACTAAAAGTGATGGTGATACATATTTAGTGTAGTTATCTAGCTTCTTGCCTAAATGCCCAATTTTCAAAACGCGTTATTTCTTTGGTTAACTTAACTGCTTTGTAGCTATGAATTCACACCAAAAATGGCTTTTCCAAAGATTCCTGTTATGAGTATTCTGTAATATTTCCGACTAATTTAACTGCTACATTTTCATCTAAAACTGAGAATCACTATAGGTTAGTAGCTTGTTTAATATACATGGTCTTTTAGGAATAGTCTGATTAAGTATTAAATTTCACTCTCATAGTTTTCCTCATTCATAGAATACTAGGAATATTCTCAGTTTGTTTTGAAACGTCACTGTTTGTCCGTTGATAGTTTCCCACAGTTCATTTACGAAATACTTGCCTGGAACCACATATTCTTCGTCAAATTTGTCGTTCATTTGTAGACAAAATTGTCAAACAATTACCTTGAGAGTTTCTTCGTACATAGCAACTGTGACTTCAGTCCCTAAATTCCGACTCCTATTTATGCAGATAAGATTTTGTTAGATGCACTTATTTAGTTTAAAAGAACGTAATCCAAGACGTTTCATATTAAGTTGAGTCTCATACCTTTTGCACAAGTCAGTGGATTTTCGGACTCAGTAGCTAAGTGGATGGAGTGATAAAGTTTGGAGTGAAATGTACTGGGTTCGAGTTTCGGAATGATCGTCAACCTGCTTTATGCAGATGAGGAGTCCCGAATAAGACGAAGCGTGCGTCCTGGATCCAATTACTAACCACATTCAGTCTATCTTTTCCATATTAAAAGAAGAACACGTTCAATATAACGCGCTTATACTGTTGTGTTAAATTTCGCAACAAGTGGTGTGTACAGAATCTGTTTAATTTCCTATAAACTATTTAATTTGGATAACTGGCTTAGTATCGTGAAGTTTTGAAAATTTAGTTTTTAGTATCTATTACTTGAAAGTACTATCTCTTTCTGTAAACAAATCATCTAGTGTATAGGTTATTTAAGTTGTGTATACTTACGAGAGAAATGAAGAAATTAAACACCGAAAATTTCATAATAGGCATTTCATTATGGTATTATTACAATTAATTCTGTATTAATATTATTATTCACTTTTTCTTAACTATACGGTTAGTCGAATAGAATTGTTAAACGAGTCTTGTCTTTCATTATTTCTATATTTCGCCTACATTGTCAGTATATGTACTTTCTTGTCCAGGCCACCTGGGCTCAATTTGGTAATGGTTATTCCAACTCTGATTTACTTACAATACTCAGTAATATTTCTACATGAGACATGATGTTAAAGGCAAAGTAACGATAATAAGATGACGTCACTGTTTAAATACATAAACGATACACGTTTCATTTTTTAGGACTTAAACACACAATAACTAATAAAACGAAAATTGAATAAATAAGCACTATGTTTTCCACACTTATAAAAATACATAGTGAGAATTAAAAAGAAAAAGAATCACAGATTAAGTTCATGCAACCTATTGGAATTTATTTCCTGCAATAAAAAAATCCATACGATGTTACCGCTGTACGAATAAGCATTTATTCTGTAACTAAGATGAACACTTTCAATTAACAAACAAGTAATACCTTTTTTTAAAATATTAAAAATAAACAAATATCATTACCAAAAGAAAATTATGTCGATGTTTATTTATGTAGAAAAGCACTTTAACAATCATTAGTTATGAATTATGATCAATACGTTCATATATGAACATGTTTTTTTTTAGCTCAATTTTAATTAGAAACAATACATTATGAAATATGTAAATAACATGATAATAAAGATATTCATTTATTCATCAAGAAGTTTTTTCATACATTTTTCTTTTTCACATTTTACTTTTTTCCATGATTCTGCACTTGATTTCAATATTCTAAAATAATGATAAAAGAGATATTCAGTAAAAAGAATTCTTTACGTTATTTCATTCAGACAGATAAATAAAAAGCAAATGTTAATGAATATGATATTGAGATGCTGATTTATTTTTGGTTTTTTAGATTAATTTATCAAACAAAACGAAATAATTTTTTAAACTCTTTCTTATTAATAAAAATGAAGGGATGAATTAAGCTATGACTGTTTATTATTTTATTTCTGAGACAACTTTTAATGATAACAAATTCTTATTATTGGGGATGGAAAAAATTCATGATGGGTAAATTTGTAATCAGGAGTCAACTGATTATCGATTCTTGAGTCATTTATATTGTAAATTGCATAAAATTCTACTCATATATACAAGAAAAATTTCAACTTCTGAAATACATATTAGATGGAAGCTAGTGTACAGAAAATTCTGTAAGTCATTCATTAATATCTCAATCTAAATAGGAAACATTTAAAAGATCTCAATGAATGGGTGCAGAGTATGAATACATTGGTAGCTACATAAGTTTCCATATGTTTAAATAATGAAAGCACAAACAAGAGTAGTGTATTTTTAAAAGGTTGATCAGTAATTTAGCATTTGCTTTGTAATGCAACTATGTGAATGTGAGATTTAGGTCGTAAATGTGAGTTTATAGTGATGCAAGTGGATAACAAATTATTCAAGCTTGTTAACTAGGAAAATGGAAAGGTAACTTTCTAAATGCTTTAAAATTAAAAGTAATCTACAATATCCACGCTTAAGTGTCTCTCTGAGTAACCATTTATCTTAATATTCTTCGTATAGATCCGATAGTTATTTAAAACAATAAATATAAAACATTATGCGATTCCGCACTATAACATTAAAGAGCATATACAATTAAGATAAAATTTATCTGAAGGTTTTATTGTATTTACCGAAGCATAAATAACACCACTGTATGGATTTGTGTTGAAAACTATACACAGATTTAAACATATTCTACTCTTAAGAGCTATCCAGGTTATTTGTAACACTTATGTTTGGACTTCGTACAAGGTTAAATTTACAAACATTTTAACTATACATGATTAATTGGTCGTGTTAAATAAATTCCATATTTCTTACTACACACCAGTTTGTTAAATGAACGCTCTGATATACTTTGTATAAACAATAACACAATAACATGAGTAAAATTTAATATCAATATGAAGATCAATTAAGAAAATTTCTCAAGAACCGGAACATTTTTAAGTGACCCAAACCAATTGGTTGTTCAATGTCGATCGTTATAATAAACAAGAGTAAATATTTTTAGTAATATTTAGATGTAAGAGTCTAGTCTACAATCGATATTCATCTAAACCTATACTGTACTAGAAAGATGCTGATAATCCTCTAGTATCGATTTGTAACATTATCAATAGAAGCTTGCATAAGTACAATACAAAGTTCGGTGAAGTTTTTCTACAAATGAATAGAATGAATTTGTCTTATTATAAGTATTTGTGTTACAGTTATTTTTACATTTATTCTTAAGTAAATATTGACAAGAGCTATTATCTACTAAAAAGGATTTTAGTTCATTAATGAACAATCATTTTTCTTGTAACTTCCAAAATATTCTCAAATTAAGTGAAAGTAACAAAAGCGATCGAAAAGTTTTTTTTTTTTTGGAAAAAAACACTTTATATAATACAAAAATTTAAAAAAATAAACAAAGATTAGAAATGTTCACATTGTGATTTGAATCAGAATAATATTACTTTTATTAGTTGACTTACTGAACACTACACTGAATAGTCAACTCATATGTATTATTTTTCTTGAAGATTGGTCATTTTGTTACTTAAAAATGTAACCTATTTGAGTCAATCATCATAAACAATATTTATAATATGATATATATATATATATATATATATATATATATATATATATAATTTAAATTTTGGAATAAAAAAAATATAGTTACTTTTGAAATGTAATAAATAAAGTATGCAGAAACTATTACTGCTATAGTTACTTTGTTGTTTTGAACTTTTGAAAAAGTTGAGTTATACTAAACATATAAATACATAGTCAAGGAGTAATAAAAAGTGAAGCAAATCGGAATAATATTTCGCTGTGTTAATTAACGACAAATGTTATCAAGTTTTCCGAGTAATATGGTGAATAACAACGCATAAGTTTGCTAAAGCTTACTTGAAAACATCTTTAAAGGCTATTCCAATTGGCTTAACGCGATAAGGAAGGTTATACTTTTCACATAAAGCTTTTACATAAGGCCTTACTAGATGATAATTATGTCTTGGCATAGTTGGAAATAGGCTGAAATGAAAAAAAACGGTATAATTTCATTAAGTTAGTAAGGTATCATGCTATACTGTCAAATGTTTTAAGCTTCACGTAGTGAAAAATGATCATCTTATTTTCAAAACTATAGTACATGCAGATCACAAAGTCAATCTAATAGATGTCAAACTACATTTTCTATCTTGATTTTGTGTTATTGGATAGAATCGATCGAGAAAATCGCACCTAATTTTTAACTTTGATTAAGCTATTGAATAAGAAATATCTGTTTGAATATTCTGTTGGCTCAGGTCTTTAATTAGGTTCAAATTCGATAGTGAAATATATTCTACTAACTACATTGTTTTTGAAGTGTTTTAGTCAAATTCTATCTAAAAACCTATTTTAGTGCTTACTTTCTAAACATGTATACGAGAAATGAACTGATCAACATTATTTCATTGTTGAAAACAACTTGAATTGTTCTACTGTTGATATACTTGACTAAATCTTGATCAGTTGTTGTTGGCATACGTGCATCCTGTGCGAATCGCTTCCATATAGTCATTTTATCATAAGCTTTTCCATAGTCCATAGATTGTTACTAGTAGTGGAATCATAGTATGGTAATAGATAATGATCAATATCAATTGGAATTTACTAGTATTGAGAAAAGTTAATGTTTATTCTTCATGACCTTAATACTTATTTTTAAGGGTAATATTTTAATTTTTAAAATTCACTAATATCTATGCAGTTAACTCGATTTAAAGTTAGAAACCAAAGTTCACGTCTTTACATAAACAATGTGAACAACTAAATTTCATCCTGTTGAGTTTATCGGTTTGCACTTGGGTGAATGCATATTATTCAACCAGAGTGATTATCACTTACATACAGAGCTTGTCAACGAGAGGTATCTTAAACGATAAAAATTAGTAATTTTAAGAGCATCAGGAAGAAATAAATATAAATAAAATTTAAAGATTGAGAAGTGACAATGTAACTTACTGATGTTCTATCTGGAAATTCAAATGTCCTGTAAACCAGTCATTGAATAGCGAATTTTCAACATTGCATGTTCCATTTAGCTGTAAACGAAACCATGGTTCAGCTCGATCATAATCTACTGGCATAGCCAAATGGTTTGACTGACTAACCCAAGTGAACCAGTGACTTTCTATGACTCTAGAAATCGAAATGTGTGGAAAAGAAGCAGGTTTACCTTAAATCGATCACTGGAATAATGCATTTGATACCGTTACAGTTCAGTTTGCATTGCTAAATAAATCAATGACAACTTCGAAAGGATTATTAGCAAATGATCGTAAGGTAATATCTAATAAAGGAAGGAAAAGTATCAGGCAGTTTGTAGCCACTACGAAAATTATACGTACACTATTCTTGACCATAATAATGTTTACGAAAAGACAAAATAAATCAGTTAATCCGATACATCACTCTGAATTCAGGTTGGTTGAATTTCAAATGAATAGTTTATGTGTCGATGATCTTTCAATCGAATATGAGAGAATATCTAGTTTATAATCAGGCAAAACACTAACGAAAACTTTGTATACTGGTAAGCAAATAAAATAAACATGACCTAACAAACTGGTGTAGTACGTGCACAAAATTTGTTGTGACATTCTGTCGTTTAGATATTAAGTGACATTGTGAACATTATTAAGTGAAAACTATTAGCTCAGTTTAATTTGAAGCTATGATTTATGAAAAGCGTAGATTAACTTGGTTTAACCTTGACATAGATAGTTCGTAATAATTTTAGTCTAGGAAGTAACATAATCAATTAGCATAATTTAACGTCTTTTTAGAAAAAATATTTTAATCCCAATTAATGAATCAGTTGTTCACTCTAACTACAATCAAACCTTACTTTTCAGTTTTATTTGTTCTTGTGGTGTTAGTTAACTGTAAATAATTTACACAGTTAATATTATATTACAAAACAATAGTCGTGTTTAAAACGATAATAAAGTGAAGACAACACGAAACAAGTGTTTACGTTAAAGTAGATAAATGTAGCATTAGTGTGCAACTATTTTAAAACTCATGTTTTAGATGGTTTATGTGAAACTAGATACATTTAGTATTTGTGAAACAAATGCTTTTTGTCTTTGAGCATGCATACATTATTGATTTTCTATTGTTTACTCTCTAGACATCTTTAACTGTATTCCTTCTTGGACCTTTTCCATAACAGATTTCACTTAATAACTTGTGGAAGTAATATTAGGGAACTTATCAACTTTAGCAGATGCACAGCTATCAGAAACTCTAAATCATTTCCTGAATTTTGAGAGATGGGGCATTGCAAACACTATCTGACGTAAGCACAACTGATAAAACCGAATATAAGATACCATAGTAACTATCTTATCAAAGTGATATTTAAATGATCAGATTGGGTATATAATGAAAGAAACTAAGAAAAAACTTTGGAATTTTTTAGCCCGTTTAATGGAATATTACGGAGCATCACTAACGTAGGCATATCTTACTCATTGTCTTAACGAAATGTCATTATAAATTTCAAAAGTCGGAGGATAAATAGTGTTTTTAAGTGTTATTTTGGCCCATGTTACCGGACTTCAAATTAGCAAACCAAAAGAGAGAGGACTAAAAGCATAAGTCACAAAATAAAGATAATGTAATCAGCACAAAACTAAAAAGGGAACCAAGGACAAAATGGAATCGAGAAGTTCAGGTAAGGAATAAAGCTATATCCGATACTTGAAGAGCTATATACAATGAGTGCCTTTGTATCGTTGTAACTGTTTTTAAGCCACATAAGCAATAATATTAAGTCATTAATTACGATGATCAAGTACATTTTCCAACCAAGTTAATATTCTCTGACTTCATGAACTGATACAGTGTTTTGGTCTGGTCACTTTAAGCCTTTTTCTAACCTAATTATATGTCAGCCAGTTTATGAAGCAGGGGTATAGCGTGAATGGTAATGCATTATGCATAAGCAAGGGACTACGTTGAATTCACGATCAAATGCTTAAAATTTACACGCAAACTCCATTCATAGAAAAAATTATTTTTATTTAGCGTTTAAACTTATGTCGAGATCACAATAGTTTATTTTATATGGCATAGCCTGTTACTATCCAGTTTTGTCCTTAAGTAAATAGTTTACACTAAATAATCATAAAAAACAGTACGTGATAATTCAGCGGGAGTTATTATATTATGTTATTAATTCATTTACTTGTACTTTAAAGTGGTATTATTATTAACTGTATTTGGTTATAGTTGTACTATTTTATTCTGAAAACTCCGCCTGGAGTCCCTCCGAGGGCTACTGCCGGTCCCAAGCCCGAATAAAGGAGGAGGGTTGGGCATGGGGTTAGTGTCCCCATCCCGTAGAAAACTAACTCGCTAAAAAAAACGCTCACCAGAAAAAATTATTCAAATCTTTTAAACTCTGCCCTGGGAGTCAGAAGGTCTTCATTTAGAAGAATTATGACGCCTCATGATGAAAGTCGGATTCCTTCGGAAGTTACGAGGCCGATGCCCCTTCTGACAACCAGAGCGACCATTTATTTAGGTACATCGAATGCTCGTACAATGTGGGACACCGGGAGAGCCTTCCAAATTGCTGCAGAAATGAGAAGATACAACCTTGAGGTACTTGGGATCAGTGAAACACATTGGACACAAGTTGGACAACAACGACTAACTACAGGAGAGCTCCTGTTATACTCCGGCCATGAAGAAGAAAATGCTCCACATACACAAGGAGTTGCATTGATGCTATACAAACAAGCACAAAATGCGCTTATAGGATGGGAATCTCATGGATCAAGGATCATCAAAGCCTCGTTCAAAACAAAGAAAGAGGGCACTTCAATGAACATCATCCAATGCTATGCGCCTACCAACGACTACAATGAAGACGCTAAAGATCGATTCTACAATAGGCTCCAGTCAATCGTCGAGAAGTGCCCAGCAAAGGACCTGACCATTCTGATAGGAGATTTCAACGCCAAGGTTGGAACGGACAACACTGGATATGAAGACATCATGGGACGACACGGACTGGGAGAAAGAAACGAAAATGGTGAGAGATTTGCAAATCTTACTTACTTACTTACTTACTTACTTACTTACTTACGCCTGTTACTCCTCGTGAAGGAGCATAGGCCACTCACCAGCATTATCCATCCAACCCTGTCCTGGGCAATCCTTTCTAGCTCCGTCCAGTTGTAATTCATCCTTTTCATATCTGCTTCTATAATCCGACGCGATGTGTTCTTTGGCCTTCCTCTTTTTCGCTTCCCTTCAGGGTTCCAAGTTAGGGCTTGCCTCGTGATGCAGTTTGACGATTTGCGTAGTGTATGTCTTATCCATTTCCATCGTCTTTTCCTAATTTCCTCTTCAGCTGGAAGTTAGTTTGTTCTCTCCCACAGAAGGCTATTGCTGGTGGTATCCGGCCAATGGATGTTGAGTATCTTGCGTAGGCAGCTATTTATAAATACTTGTACTTTCTTGATTGTGGTCGTTGTATTTCTCCAAGTTTCAGCTCCATACGGTAGAACTGCCTTGACGTTCGTATTGAAGGTTTGCAAATCTATGTGCCTTCAATAAGCTGGTCATAGGCGGCACCATATTCCCACATAAACGCATACACAAAACCACATGGACTTCACCGGATCACTATACACAAAACCAAATCGACCATATTTGCATCAACAAAACGTTCAGGAGGACTATAGAGGACGTGAGAACCAAGAGAGGAGCTGATATAGCATCAGATCATCACTTGCTGGTCGCCAAGATGAAATTGAAACTCAAGAAGCACTGGACAACGGGGCGGACAATATCACAAAAGTTCAATACGGCCTTTCTTCAGGATACTAACAAACTCAACAAATTCAAGATAGTCCTCAGCAACAAGTTCCAGGCCTTTCATGATCTACTCAATGGAGAAGGAACTACTGTGGAGAGCAACTGGAAGGGGATCAAAGAGGCAATCACTTCAACATGTCATGAGGTCCTGGGTCACAAGAAGCACCATCACAAGGAATGGATCACTGTTGATACACTGGATAAGATTCAAGAAAGGAGGAACAAGAAGGCAGCAATCAATACCAGTCGAACAAGAGCAGAAAAAGCCAAGGCACAAGCTGAATACACAGAAGTAAACAAACAAGTGAAGAGGAGCATCAGAACCGACAAACGTAAATATGTGGAAGATTTAGCAACGACGGCGGAAAAGGCTGCAAGAGAAGGAAACATGAGACAATTGTATGACACGACAAAGAAACTCTCTGGAAATCGCCGCAAACCAGAACGACCAGTGAAAAGCAAGGAAGGCAAGGTAATCACCAACATTGAAGAGCAACAAAACAGGTGGGTAGAACACTTCAAAGAACTCTTGAATCGACCAGCTCCACTGAACCCACCCAACATCGAAGCAGCACCCACGGACCTCCCAATCAATGTTGGCCCACCAACAATTGAAGAAATCAGCATGGCCATCAGACAAATCAAGAGTGGCAAAGCAGCAGGACCGGACAACATCCAGCAGAGGCACTAAAAGCAGACGTAGCGGCAACTGCAAGGATACTCCACATTCTCTTCAATAAGATTTGGGATGAGGAACAAGTACCAAAAGACTGGAAAGAAGGACTTCTGATCAAAATACCGAAGAAAGGCGATCTCAGCAAGTGTGATAACTACAGGGGCATCACTCTTCTCTCAATACCGGGAAAAGTCTTCAACAGGGTATTGTTAAACAGGATGAAGGACTGCGTAGACGCCCAACTTCGTGACCAACAGGCAGGATTCCGTAAGGATAGATCGTGTACAGACCAAATCGCAACTCTACGGATCATTGTGGAACAATCAATTGAATGGAATTCATCACTCTACATCAACTTCATTGACTACGAAAAGGCATTTGATAGCGTGGACAGAACAACACTATGGAAACTTCTTCGACACTACGGCGTGCCTCAGAAGATAGTCAATATCATACAGAATTCATATGATGGATTACACTGCAAAATCGTGCATGGAGGACAGTTGACAAAGTCGTTCGAAGTGAAGACCGGTGTCAGGCAAGGTTGCTTACTCTCACCCTTTCTCTTTCTCCTGGTGATCGACTGGATCATGAAGACGTCAACGTCTGAAGGGAAGCACGGGATACAATGGACATCTAGGATGCAGTTGGACGATCTAGACTTCGCAGATGATCTGGCCCTTCTATCCCAAACGCAACAACAGATGCAGGAGAAGACGAACAGTGTGGCAGCAGCAGTAGGTCTCAATATACACAAAGGGAAAAGCAGGATTCTCCGATACAACACAGAATGCACCAATCCAATCACAATTGACGGAGAAGATTTGGAAGATGTAAAAACCTTTACGTATTTGGGCAGCATCATTGATGAACAGGGTGGATCTGATGCAGATGTGAAGGCGCGGATCGGCAAAGCAAGAGCAGCATATTTACAACTGAGGAACATCTGGAACTCAAAGCAACTGTCAACCAACACCAAGGTCAGGATTTTCAATACAAATGTCAAGACAGTTCTACTGTATGGGGCAGAAACCTGGAGAACTACGAAAGCCATCATCCAGAAAATACAGGTGTTTATTAACAGTTGTCTACGCAAAATACTTCAGATCCGTTGGCCGGACACTATTAGCAACAACGTACTGTGGGAGAGAACAAACCAGATCCCAGCGGAGGAAGAAATCAGGAAGAAGTGGATAGGACACACATTGAGGAAAGCACCCAACTGCGTCACAAGACAAGCCCTCACATGGAATCCTGAAGGCCAAAGGAAAAGAGGAAGACCAAAGAACACATTACGCCGAGAAATGGAGATAGACATGAGAAAAATGAACAAGAATTGGATGGAACTAGAAAAGAAGGCCCAGGACAGAGTGGGTTGGAGAATGCTGGTCAGCGGCCTATGCTCCATTGGGAGTAACAGGCGTAAGTAAGTATTTTATTCTGAAATCGTGTAAAGTTTCTATTCAAAGTTAGTTTCACAGCACAAACTGAAGAAGTAATATAGTTAACTTTATTACTAAATAAAATTAATGCTTAATATAAGTAATATGACATATATGTTCGATTTTAAGTATTTCAGTTCCACAGCATATCAGTTGTGACCAGAGTAGCTCAGTTGTAACATTTCAGACTGTCAAGCTAATTAACTTGATATCAGATCTTGCAGATAGAGCCAGTTCACTAAAGATTAAAGCTATACTTACCGGACGAGTACTAACTAGCACGAAACCTAGGTCCAAAGATTTTCATCGAATGACTCCTAAAACCTAAAATTAGATTCTGACTATCTAGTGTTGTATCCATTAATTTAGTTTGAGTCGAATATTTTTCTGTTTTGAACTCATGTCTGGCTTTTAAAAAGCAGTACCGTGCAACCACTATGTAATGTTATGTAGACCTAGGTTAGGTTATGATTAGATCGATTATGTATCGACTTTTCTAGAATGTTCGGGTTATTCTCAGGAAAAGTGAAACTTTCAGGCCGGACATGAAAAATGATTGCGTTAATCAAAATGTTTTATGATTTGAGATTGTCATAAATTTTATCGACGTTAATGTAATGGCTTTTTCATTTCTTGAAGAATCGGTAATAAAGGATTTTGCATGCATGTTAAAATATATTTTTATCTTTCTCAATGCTATTTTAAATTGGATGGTTTCTATTTTATTTCTAATACATATCTATTTGCCGAGAACTTCTTGATACCGAGACCTTTGATTATTAATCTTTTAGTTTCATATTAAAACGAAAATTGATTCATATGACAATAGTTATGTGTAGTAATATTAATAATGATCACATACCTTACAACAAAAAAATAGCCCAAAGTTCCCCAGAATCCAAGCAATGAATAATAAAGAGAGAGTAACTTTACGCAAAATCCCGTGACGTACAGAAAATCCTTAGACGAATTAAGTAAAGAAAATCTAAAAATGATCTTGAAAATGTAATTATCAAGCACTGTAAGTTACAGCGAAGTACAGAAAAATACAATTATGTTATTTGAGTAGAAGCCTATTAAGTAATAATTTTAATGGATGTTAATTTAATATTTAGTACCCTACAACAGTTTTCTAATGTTTAAACTTTGAATGACATCTTAAATGTTTGAGTTACTTTGTTATACATTTAGTCATGAATTGAAAGATTCTACCTTGGGCACGCAATAGGTTTAATAATCAAACTTTATATAGGAAGGAGTTTATCGCATTTATCATCTGTACACAAGGAAATATATTCCCATGGTTTCATCTCCTGAGTTGATTTATTGTAACTGTAAACATGGGGAATGTAATAAGATATACATGCATATTCAGGGAACCATCAACTAACCCGAAAATCACATTTGTTATTTCAAAGTAAAATAAAATTCTTATATCTTCGCACTAACGTGGGTGAGACAGACCCTAGAAATATGGCTACGAGTTTGATAATGACATTATCATACGATTAATTTCTAGTTTATTCTAATAAGAAATGGTAGGAAAGTTTTTCAAGTTATTTCTTTTGAGTATTTTGTGTGTGGGCTTGGCACGTTAGTTGCAAGCTAACTAAACAACTTACTCAGGTTATACATGGTTTTGTAAAATACTTTTAGTTGATTCATGTAATGATCAATGTTCAGTGTTATTCTGTCACTGATTTCAGTCTTTCATAATAGTTGCAAATAGAACTCAGAAAAAAAATTACTAAGCAAAGAAACGAGTAAAAAGTGATTCCTATTAATAGTTAAAAACTAGTAACTTCCAGAGAGGGTCACATAATTCGTTTCCAAGTAGCGTTAAAAATACGAGGTTGTTTGATATTCTGTTAAGATTGAACCTAATTATCATTTATGAACATGGTTTAGTATATAGGATTTTGCTTATTGTAATCGTTTTTTGTGTTCATGCTTAATTAAAAAGCATAAAATAATTAACAATAAACGAAATAAAGCAGTTTTCATCAAGTCAAGAGATCAAACTTTATTTGGCTGACCTAATATTTTTTTGTTTCTTGAACCTAAAGCGTAGTTAATCTGACTTTTGTCTGATCTGAAGTGCACATTATAATCGTGAAACCGATTTAAGTAGTTTTGGTAGGTTAGTTATGCAGTCAGAACATATTGTGTTTTTCTTTTGACAGGTATATTACGTCATTTGGGCATGCCTACTGAGCCTAAGACCGTACATTTTAGAATGCCTTGGTTGTCAATTCGGCTTCCATTGAATGCAAGAATCTACTGACATTTGGTAATTGAGTGGAGGACAATTACATGTATGTCGTACATTGTAAATTTGCTTACCTCTATTCTTTTGTGAATCCACATATGACGGAAGGACATGATTTGGAAATAAACAGGAAATAGTAGAGGGGGACCAACTGAAAGAAAAGAATCATCTGTTAGTCTTCCTTCATATGCTATAATTTGACAGCATTCTTTAATACAAGATTCATACTAAAAGACCTATTTTCTCGTGATTCAGTACAGTGATGTTGAATGTCTAAAGTCCACATGAGGGAAGAAAAATGACATGTAATTGATTTGTAAAGTGATAGATTCTCTAGCAAATCTAATTGAACCCATGTTGATAGTGTTTTACAGTTTGTACAGTGTGGTGTTATTTCTGGAAGTTTTTGTACGGAAAATCAAATACTTAGTTGATATGTTTTTTACTAGATTTGGTGAGCGAATCTATTAGACTAGAATTTTCTCAAAGTGATTGCATTGGTTATAGTCTACTTTTCTAAAATTTAATATTCATTCCCTTACGATTTATCATTTTACTTTCCGTCAGGTTAAGTACATTTTCTTAATACTAATTGTTCATGAGACTATAAAAATCAAAAGCCTATATATATATATATATATATATATATATATATATAAAGATATAACATGAACAAAATTGTTGTTTTTACAGACGATTGAGTCTTCATACATCTTTTTTTCGGTAAGTGTAATTGGTATATAACCATAAACAGTTAACAACCTTTGATATTTATTTTAATTAGTTAAGTATTTGAAGTGGTTTTGAATAAGTTTTTTGTTATGTATGCAATAGAAATTAGAAATGATGAATAGAATTTTGAGAAAAAGCTTTCCGAACATAAAAGGTGATTTTATTAATTTAATAGATTTGAAGCATTTAGTCTCTTCGATAAATTTAGATACTGTAATAAGAAGACGAAGATTATCAGAACTATGTGGTATATTAGCGCAATACATTTTGAACAACCTGACCACACATATACTAATTAAGAACATTTATGTACAAAAACAGATTTGCTAAACTTATTCCTGATCGCTGCTTTCTCATCTAAAATCTTGTAAGATCAAATTCATGAATATGAATATTAATTTGTGAAGTTTGGTATATGTACCATAATAAAGTTCTTACCCTAAAGTAGTGTAATAGTTTGAAATGTTGCGGCTAAAAATTTAATAAATAGTAATATTAATCAACACTACGATGTAAAGGACAAAAAGATCTATTCGATAAACGTATTCTGATGGTCGAGAAATATCTGATTCTAATATGTTTACAAATTAAGGAATGATAATGTAACTTTTAAACTTTAGTCCCACTAATTAACAATATTTGAATAATACACTAAATCTTATTACTAAGTAGAAACGGTTTTATAATCGAACGAAATATTAAAGAACTGTAGGTGTCTAGTTAGAATTAAGTTACATATTAGACAAATTGTACATGCTATTGAACTTTACATGGTCAGTCGGAGTTTACAAAAACTGTTGACCTAGATTCAACTATCTTATACTCCAGAGTAAATGTTTAATTATTGATTGTCGTATAAACAAATAGTTTAGTGTGGTCAAACTGTTGGATTTGTTTCCCGAAGACAAATTCATTAGTACAATAATGACTTTTACTAGTACTAAATTTTCGTCTATATAATATTAAAATTAAGTGCCAAGAGTACAAAGCAAAATATTTTAATGAAAACAGAATGCTGTAACCACTGTTAGATATATTATGAAGACCAACCACGCAAAGTGATAAGGACAGTTTACCATAGTGAACATAAAAGTTAAAATGAGTGCCCTAAGATTTCTTGGTGTCACTCATTTTTTTAATTACCAATTGATAATACATTTATGGGAAACGAAGTGTGTGATGTTCATTTTGGAAAGGCATATTATATGACTAATAACACCACGACAATCCTTGTTTATAACCGAATAGAATTGTCTTGGATACATTTGTTTCGAATCAGTCCTTCAATTTAATTCAGTCTTGTATTGCGTCGCCTTAATGGCTATGAGTTTTGCTAATAAACACCAACCAGTCGTTTAAGGCCGTGAGAATTTCCTGAAATTTTATCTTGTCCAAATTTAGTTCAGGTCTTTCACTTAATTGGTGTTAACCTTTACACTTTAGTCAATGCCCAGAAAAAATCAGTAGATATACAGAACTACCTTAAAAAACAACTCCCTAGTCAAATATGTATGTTTAACCTTCAGGACTAAGGTAATCAAATTAATCTGCTGAATATTTCAGGAATAGCTAATTAGAGAGAATCCTCTTTAATTACTCCACTGATAATTATGATCGTTTTAACCAATAATATTAAGGAGGAAACAACACTTTATGCTATAAGTGTAAAAAGATGAATGTTATTTAGATTGTGTTTACTGAGGTTCAAAACCCATGGAGAAATGAAGAAATGAATTTGTTCATTGTCATATACTCACACACTGTTAGGGTAGCGAAATTCTCTGAAGAAGTATTCATATATTATATGCCTTCATATAAACAGTGCTCTTTGTGTACCCATGAAGATCACTTATATAAGAGATGATGTAGATTTCTGCATGATATTCTTACAGGAACAAATGAAAACATAAACTATGGTTTTAGAAGCATCGATTTGTATAGACTTCGTTTTTACTCAAAATATTGTTGAGCAATTATTCAAATAAATTTAATTAGATTTTGAAAAAGAGTTATACGCATAATGTCTGTTTATGTGAGTCTAGAGGTCATACTTTTTAAAACAGTAATGCGCTATTCATACTCACAGTTATACTTGTGGAAATATTATCATATAGTGTCTAGTCTGGGCGGCAAGAGTCAGAGAATAGCCTCTAAGGCTTGCTCGATAAATTATCTCGTAAATTGTGAACGTTCGTTGTCATCTGAGGTGAGAAATAGCTTAGTAATTAGTTAAGTTTAGGAATTCCTTATCAACATTATTTCGGAGCTTTCTTGAATGGCTTACACTATGTGAGACACAAATCGATACAAACCGTTTGATGGCTTATTTGGATATGAGTGAAGCTTCATATTTATAGTCCTTTAATATTAGTATGAAGTTTTTCCATTTAAAGGTTGACATTCCTTAGCTGAAAAAAGTATTGAGTTAATCCCTCCTCCAATGATAATGGATGAGATCTAGAAAAAGAAAGAGATGGTCATGATGGTTGGTTGTGTACACTATAGGATTGTAAACTGTTAATAACAGAGACATGAACATGATCTTGGTAGTCAATGTAGACAGATAGATTTATGCCCCACCTATCATTCTATGATAAAAGAGGGTTAGGTTGTACATTTTGAAGTGTAAATATTTGAATTATATAACTGCATCTAGGTCATAGACTGGATTGGTTTTCTCAGGTATATCTTTCTCGAGCTCTGCTTAGGAACTGAATGATTATGTTTGTGTGTTTCGCAACAATAATCTTATTCTTTTTTGTAGACTTGGACGACCAACAAACGAAATCGGTCAAACGAGGTTACGTCGGGCTCTCAGATTCTAGCTAGTATCTCGATCAAATTAACTAATAACGACAGACCACAGCTCTTAAAGACTTCTGAAATCAAATTATCATGTCTTGTTTTCTCCATCTTTAAGAGCTAGATGACTTGTGCATAAATTTTATTCAATTTATTTGGGCGGGAGAGGTAGTTGGAGAGTAGCTGTATATCGGATAAATCGCAACTTAAACTATTTAGTCTGTTGATTCACTCTCGTGGATAGAGACTAGGTCAGCTTTCCACTTCACTCTGAACGTCTCAGCAACAACTGAATTCTTAATACTTGTTTTTCTAATTATTCTAAACAGTAATCTAGTGTTATCTATCGCCGTTGGTTTTTCTACTGTTATAACTCTCAAAAGCGTACTCAGTATAAAACATATACAAATCCAGATTGTTATCGTTCATGTAAATAACAACTCAGACTTAGCCTAATTGAGTAATCTACTTCATACAAAATAAGTCAATTTATAGTGTCATTTTTCAACAAATGTTTTAAATTGGTGACGCAAACACCTATGCTGTCGAAAGCATTTTAATTTGTTTGTGGAAAAATCAATAAAACTAGGCTAGACAGTCATATCTAACCTTTTTTTAAACAAAATTAATGTGGACTGCTTAGCTTCAGTGCAAGTAAATTTAAAAATAAATTTACTAATCCTGGAGATTAATGAAAACCATAAGATCTATGTGAAGATTGTAAAGGTTTAGAAACATACTCTTTCATCAACATTTTGAATATGTATGATCAAATTATTTGAATTCTGTATCAGGAAAATGAATTGTTAAATTCTATACGTGTAATGATATATATAGTGACGATGAATAGGAGCTAGATAATTTCTTTCAAAGTATACAGAAATCCAGTACTCGGGTCCAGGGTGTTTCTATGGTGTTTGCTTCTGATACCACACCTGAATGTATGAATAATTCCATATATTAATTTTTCAAGTTACTGAGGTGTAATAGACATAAAACCCTTAATACTTAAATTTAAATTTTGGTATTGTTGGGATATTCAGAAAAATATCCCAAAAATTATTCTGCTAAGTCTAACGCTATCCTTGGACTTGAGATGGTGTCATTTCCTCATTGGTCAATGTTTATTTCACGTATCATTTTCCTACTGGTCAATATTGTACAATGTTATTTTCTATTTTATGGTACGATGTGGTCTGCTTGACTGGTATATAAACAAAGCATGTTTGAAATATAACGATTCATCTCTCCGAGGCTGAAACTTGTGTTCCGGACTCAACTGGCTGGGCTAGGCAGGGGAGCGGGACTAATCAGAACCCTAGGCCGTTCTTACGTGTTTGCGCGTCTTTGGTCAGATCGATAATTCGCTGTCCTCTAATCGGCTGCCGTCACAGTTATAGCAGGTATCGATAATTCAGAATAGCTGTTAAGCTTGCCTAAATAATGGTACTCATTAATGTGCTTTTCATGTAGATAGAAAGCTGAGGAGGAACTAATCACTTAATTGTACTGTGGTATTTTCAGTGGACATAAAATGTTACACTTACAAGCTCTGAACTCGGTCCGTTTTCGGGTTATTGTATGGTTAACTATTCTTATTATTCAGTTATCAGTAATTTACATTCTAGGGTTAACAAGTGTTTATCTGTTCGTTGTATTTTAGCCCATTTCCCTAATTGGTATAAACTGGTTAAGAAGTAAGTCATATATTGAGTGAAACGCAAACGAATTTTCAAGTGCAAATAATTTTCTGGAGATAAAGCAATAATGTATTGGGAGTTATTTTCAGATAAATTAAATGTCATGTCAGTATAAACAGTAGATAACATAGAAAACACTGATAAGTTAAGATCTATTTGTGTTCGTTCAGTTGTGTAAATTAGGATTTTATAGATCATATATTCTGTAGAAAGAAATTCCTTTAAAAATAATTAGTCTCATATTTACCACGAAATATTTGTCACATATTTAGATTAAACTAAATTTCTAGCGTAATCTCTTTAATGAGGGACTAAATATCCCCCTAGAATTTAAATAACGGGTCAAATCAATTAGCGATTATTAGTAGAATTGGTAAGAATATAGAATGAATTTATCGATATCAGCTGAATATTTATGGAATAATTAATGACTTACTTAGGAAAAAATATTTATGCTGGTGTTCATAAGGAAAATGCCACGTCCATTTACTTTCAGGACTAGCTGCTCTTCTAAGCACGTTATCACCAACAACAAAAATTGGTTCTAGTCGGGTATCTGGATCTTTATCAATCTGTATTTAGATTGGTAATAGAACAAAATTTGTGAGAAGTAGTAAAACTGTAAATTTACCTGATGAAAGTATTCTCGTAACTTGAACTTTTAAAACAAAAGTAGCTATCAAGTATATTTAAATACGCAGGACAAAATAGAGTATACAATAATTTACTGAAAAATCATCTGTTTGGTATTTTGCAATTTAGTTCAATTTATTATTATATTTGATTTTGATGATACATAATCAAACATGGACTACCTGAGATCAAATCATCAATTATTTATGCATTTATTGTGAATTAACAACATGGTTTACACTCAATAGATAATAAATTTTCATTATATTGAGGGACACTGTAAAAGTCAGCTAAAGTTGTAGTCATTTCTGTGACAAAATATAACTTACCACGTTCGGTTTAGCATGATGTTGAGAATGCATGTGATTCCACCAATGGCAAGAAGCTCCCTTAGTTAAACCAAGGATAATTTCATGGAAAATATGATTTATTCGAGTACTCCCAAATACCGATAGATGTCCTAAGTCGTGTTGCAGCCAACTTGCTTGACCCTGAAGAAAAAGTAACAATAATATGTTGTCCGTTTTAATGACTTTTTCAAAGATTTTATGAGTAAAAGCACCTACGAGTGAAAAAGTGTACCAAGACCATAAAATCCCAATGGAAGCTTACTGGCTGAACTGTGCGTATGTAGATTGAAAAATATGATTACAATTAAGATTGGAAATAATTATTCTGTAATTATATGTTACGCTGGGAGGATCAATCAAATGGTTACGGATATGAGGAGGTACAACTTGGTAGTGCTCGGGACCAGTGAAACTGATTGGGCCCAAGCTGGACAGAAAAGGATAGATTCAGGAGAGATCCTTCTGTACTGTGGTCACTAAGAAGAAAATGCTCCACACACTCAGGGAGTTGCTCTAACTCTGTCAAAAGAAGCACGTAAAGTAATTATACGATGAGAATCTCATGGATCCGCAATCATCAAAGCATCCTTCACAACAAAGAAGGAGGGGATCACAATGAATATTATCCAATGTTATGCACCCACCAGTGATAGCAATCACGACTATAAAGATCGGCTTACGAGAGGTTTCAATCGATCATAGCGAAGTTCTCAGGAAAGGACCTGACCTGATGAGAGACTTAAACGCCAAAGTCGGAATGGAAAACATCAGGTGTGAAGATAACATGGGACGACATGGACTGTCTGTGAGAAATGAACGAAAATAATGACAGATTTTTAAGTTTGTGCACATTCAACAAAATGGTTCTAGGTGGTAAAACATCCCCCCACAACCGCATACACAAAGCTATGTGGGTCTCACCGGACCACAACACAGAGAATCAGATCGATCATATTTTCATCAATAAAAATTTCAGAAGATGTGGTGTTTGAATAAACTAATGATACCTTAGTACTTGTTGAATGCTCGATTTCGAATTCCAAATACAATACATTCTTTTGTGCTTGTGTCTCACTTCTTAATTCATTTGCGTTATTTCTGGGATTCTTAGTTCATGCTATAATTCAAATAATTCAAAACATTATATTGGTGTCGCGATGGAGCCTACAATGGAAAAGTTAGATATTCATTCAACTTCTGAAGCTTTTGAGGATTATTTTGAAAGGTTCGAAATCTGGGTTATGACCAAGGAAGATGATGAGGATGTTAATATTGTGGCACATTTCCTCACATTCATTGGAAAAGAAGCATACAGCTTATTAAGAACTCTGGCTATGCCAGAAAAGCCTATCTCGCTTCCTTATACAACTCTCAAGGAACTACTGCTAGACTATGTTAATCATACAAATTTCGAATGCAGTAAAGGAGGGAGATCTCGTAAAATGGTTCATGAGGATATAAAAAATTTCACTACATTACTACGTTATCCCGACCCAGTGCATACTCAAGGCTATGCAGATAATTCATTGAGGAGTTGCAATGCAGTTCACGAAGATGGGCACAAGTTCGGTCAGTGTTTGTTCTGTGGCAAGTTCCACTCTTTTAATTCATGTAAATTTCGTAATTCCAAGTACTTTAAATGTGGTGATATTGGACATATTCAGTCAGTCTGTAATCCTAATGTTCATCTTACTGCAACTAATATTAAGTCTTGTGATTCTGATTCTACTGAGTCGAGTATTCATGATGATCATTTATCTTTATCAACTATTTCAAAAGACAGGGCAGAGTCATATGACAGTTCAGAGTTAAATGAAATTCAAAATGCTTGCGAGACAACATTTCTTAATCAACCAACTTATCAGATTTCTCATGTTATTGTAACAAATATGGCTTTTCTTAATGATTCACATATTTCTGATGAAATTTCTTACAAATCTGAGGAAAATATGTTAAATGAACCTAGTCGTGATCAAAAACCTGAAGCAGTCTTGATAGATGCTGATTTTTCTAATGATCCATTACTCTGCAATGAAATTCTCAATAAATTTCATGAAAATATTTCAGAAGAATCAAATCCTGATGTCATATCATATATTACCTATCCTCATAATGCATTTGTTTCTTGTGGGAAACTTGTTCAATGCGAGGCACGAGTACTAAATGAGTTCGATTTTGATTACAATTCGGATGATTTCATATCAACTGCTGTTTTTCCTTATCACAAAAACACTTCTAATGTTTACTCTAAACAATGTGAGAAATATGTTTTAAATGAAGCCACATCATTCATAACTTGGGGATATAAAAATCCAACATTATTTCGTGGGGGAGGATAGTGTTGAAAAATATATGGTTCGAATTCTAGATATTAATGATTTCAGTACAAAACCGACATACTGATTGTATACAATTCCAGGTGAGTCTGTTCCGATTTCGTTTGTTAATTCCAATACTAATGAGCACTTTCTAGATACTACAAAGTTTTTATCTTATACATTGTCGGACAGACTCAGGATGAATTTAACAAGAAGACGTACAACCGATTACAAACACTTATACTTCTATTTAAGCTGTGGCGGATGTGGTGTTTGAATGAACTAATGATACCTTTGTACTTATTGATGGCTCGATTTCGAATTATAAATACAATACATCCGTTTGTGTTTGTGCCTTACTTCCTAATTCAATTGCGTTATTTCTTGGACTCTTAGTTCGTACTATAATTCAAATAATTCGAAACATTATAGAAGATCAGTGGAAGACGTGAGAACCAGAAGAGTTGTTGACATAGCTTCACATCATCACCGACTGGTAGTTGCCAAGATCAAACTGAAGCTAAAGAAACAGTGTACAACTGGACAGACAGTATTACAAAGGTTCAATATAGCCTTCCTTTGAGATACTAACAAACCCAATGAACTGAAGATACCTCTAAGCAAAAGGTTCCAAGCCTTACAAGATCTACTCACAGAATCAGAGACTACTAAGTAGAACAACTGGAAAGGGATGAATGAAACATTGACTTCAAAATGTCATTAGGTGCTAGGCTATAACAAGCATCATCATAAACAATGGATCTCCATCGAAAACCTGGCCAGGATTCAAGATAAGAAGAACAAGAAGACAGAAATTAACAGCCGAACAGGAGCAGAGAAAGTCAAGGCATAAGCTAAATGCACAGAAGCAGACAAGAGAGTGAAGAAGAGCATTAGAGACAACAAGCAAAAATACGTGGAAGAGCTACAGAGAAAGAAGCTTCAAGAGAAGGAAATATGAAACAACTATATGACACGGCGAAGAAACTGGTAAGAGAAATGTAGTAAACCAAAGAGACCAGTCAAGGACAAAGAAGACAATTCAGTCACTGAAATTCAAGGACAGAGGAACAGGTGGGTAGAACACTTTTAAGAGCTGTTGAATAGACTAGCCCCAATGAACCTACCAGCTATCTCAACAGCACCCACAGACCTTCCTACAACAGTTACTCCTATAACAATCGAAGAAATTGGGATTGTCATCATACAAATCGAGAGTGGGAAGGCAACAGGACCTGAAAATATACCAGCCGAAGAACTAAAGTCAAACATAGAAGCAACTGTAAGCATGCTCTACGTTCTATTCACGAAGATTCGGGAGGAAGGACAAGTGATATAGACAGACTGGAAAGAAGAATACCTCATCAAGATTCCGAAGAAAGGAGATCTGGGCAAATGTGAGCACTACATAGGCATTACGCCACTATCGGTACGAGGGAAATTTTTCAACAGAGTGTTGTTGAACCAGATGAAAGATCAACGGACCGGATTTCGTAAGGATCAGTCGTGCACAGACCAAATCGTGACACTACGGATCATTGTTGAACAATCAGTTGAGTGGAACTCTTCACTATACATCAACTTCATTGACTATGAGAAAGCGTTTGATAGTGTGGACAAGAGAACATTATGGAAACTTCTTCAACATTATGGAGTTCCTCAGAAGATTGTCAACATTATCCAGAACTCATATGGCGAGCTACAGTGCAAAGGTGTGCAATGGGGGACAGCTGACAGATGCATTCCAAGTAAGGATCGGAGTTAGATAAGGCTACTTACTCTTTCGTTCCTTCTCTCTCCCCCCTCGCCTTTCTCCTTCTTCTGGTGGCCGACTGGATTGTGAAGACCTCTACGTCTGAGAGGAAGCATGAAATATAATGCACAGTTTGCATGCCACTAGACGATTTGGACTTGCCAGATGACCTGTCCCTTCTATCCCATACACATCAACAAATGTAAGTCAAGACAACCAATGTAGCAGAAACCTCTGCATCAGTGGGCCTCAACATACAGAAGGGAGAAACCAAGATCATCAAATACACCCTGGAGAACACTAATACAATCACACTTAATGGAAAAACTTTAGAAGAGGTGGAAACTTTAGAGTATCTGGGTAGCACCACCGATGAACAAGAAGGATCTGATGCAGATGTGAATGCAAGGATCGGCAAAGCAGGGATAGCATTCCTACAGTTGAAGAACATTTGGAACTCAAAACAACTGTCTGCAAGCCACAATCAAAGTCACAATCTTCAATACGGATGTCAAGGCAGTTCTACTGTATGGAGCTGAAATGTGAAGAACTGCCACAACCATCATCAAAAACGTGCAAGTATTTGCAAACAGTCGTTTGCGAAAGATACTGAATGTCCGCTGTCCGGATACCGTCAGCAACAGCCTACTATGTGAGAGAACAAACCAGCTTCATATGAAGAGGAAATTAGGAAAAGACGTTGAAGATGGATCAGATACACATTGAGGAGGTCATCAAACTGTATCACGAGGCAAGCGCTTACTTGGAACCCCGGATGAAAACGAAAAGAGGAAGGCCAAAGAACATACTACGTCAAGAATTGGAAGCAGACATCAAAAGGATGAAATAATAAGTGAAAAAAACTGGGAAGGGAGCTAGATAGAGAATGCTGGTGGACGGCATATACTCCTCGACAAGAGGTAACAGGCGTAAGTATCTATCAATGGTTATTGCTTTCAAAGACTATGATTCCTATATTTAGAGCTGCCACAATCTCCAGACAGTTGTTTAATATTCAGTAAAATTGCCGCATTTTTCGACTATTAAAGTCTTTTATGAAGTTAAATTCGAGACATTCGTATGACTGCATTTTGAAGGATGGAATTTTTACTAATTACTAATATAACTCTTATTGGTAAAGGTCAGTAATTTTCTGCCTTTGATATTCATGACTATAATTTGTCGTCCCATGTTTCCATAAAGTGTATACTAAGCATATTATTTATCTATGGCCTTCAGTTACAAGTTCTAGTTTATTCGTTGAGTAATTTGCACCGGAATCCAGGATGAGCGGTACATTCTAATCATTAAAATATGTAGACAAAAAAGGCAACACAATTTAGTTTTCAGTTTCTTGTAAATATCAGATATTCGTGTTTATCTAACTATGCAGTAGATGGCGAATTTAACTTAGTAATGTTGCTTTACCTAGGATTAATCAAATAACTCAAACGATAGGAATGATTTTGTGTTTTAGAATGTTGAAAAATATTGACATATACAATAAATAGGTGTTCACAAGGAAGCAAGTTTTATTTAACTTGGTTAGATTAAACTTAGTGTCGAGATAAGTAGTTAGAATGATTTGTATCATCAGTTTTCTAAAAACTACTTGAACAATATATTTATTTTGGACTTTAATGTACTGTGACTTTCTGATGATTATTATCTACTTTATATTACATCTTCAGCCAGTAAGAACAATTATTCGATTGAAATGAAGTGACAAATCGAAACTGCAGGAATGTAAACCACTTCGAGTAGTAACACAAAATTGGATCATAAATCTGGACCATTCATTTTTCAGCATGGTAAATCGTTTTTTCTACTGTTTTACAAACACGTTTGTAATGATTATCAATGGTCACTTAATCAAAAATCTTGCTCTTCAAGCATGACCAGGAAGAATAAAACAGAACTTCGGTACGTGACTGAAATCAGCTCAGTATTTTCACATGTTCTGTGGACAAGTTGTCTTTAAAGCTTTGAACTACGATATTGAGGCCTTTATTTTATTGCTGCAATGTTTGTGACCTGGATTTGGAACTATTACATAAGTTGTACGATTAGAAATGCTTTATGAAATACGGTATTTAGTCAATATTTATGTCTTGACTTTTCATAAAATCCTCCAGGGTTCCAACCCAGAATGCATGTTTTAACAACCACCTATGTTTTACGTGTGTATTGAAATCAAGACAATTCATTTCAAATGGTAATAGTTACGCATTCTATAAATGATTGTATTCACAATGAATACATGAAGCAGCCTGTTTAAAATTACAACTAGTTAGAATCATATTTTTAAACTTCATTCGTGTTTCTTCTCGTTTTCGAAGGGTGGATATTAAAGTCAACATAACCCAGGAGTATGCTGTTATTTTTAATACAATACCATAAACGTATTACGTGAACAATTTATTAACATTAAATCTAACGCAGATAATGTCTTGTGATATACTAATATGAATGACAGTTTCAAAGATAAATAAATTTTTAGGTAAACATTATGGTCTATTGTGTCTTGATATTCAATTACGAAAATCAGCGTGAAAAAACGTTTCATTTGTAGGTTAAAAAATTAAAAATAAGTTCCAAAATGTTTTATAAACCATAAATCATTTATATTTGATATTTACTATCTTTTCTACTGGAATAAACTTGACTTCTTGCTTACTCGGCCTTCATTAAAATATTTACACTTTTACTACATACAATCTTTCAATGAAGCTATGCTTGTTAACTATGTCTGCTCAGTCTCTTGGTTTATATTTCTCTGTGGCCAGTCGCCAACGAAGTTGTCATCGGAATCTGCAGAGACATACATTGTTCTAATTTATACTTTGGGAGTTTTTAATATTATATCAATCTAATGCTGTGACCTTATAACCTAATCCACCACTGAATTTCGATTTCCTAGTATATGTAATTATCACTTTCACAGAGGAATCAATGGGGAGTGGATGTATACATTAAATGGTGACATTTATAAAATGAGATTTGCATGATCTAAAGATTATGAACTACAACAGAATTTAAAGATTCACTTCTTATTTCGATAATTGATCATACAATAAGAAAAATGTCTTATTTTGAGTAGGGATTTTTAATCTAACGAAAAACCATGAAAATCTGGCTACATGAGGTGAAATTTTTATGCTATATTTAAGAAAAAGACAGTAATATATAAGTTTATGAACGTTAGACATATGGAAACAGAAGTTTAGAGAATAGGTTCAACAGAATCGGTAGACAGTTTAGGTTTGGACTATCTTTGAGCTATGAATTTGATGTAATATTTATTCGCAATCGGAAGTACTTGACCTCTGTTCATTCAAGTTTATTTGACTTAAAGGTAAGGGATTTAAATATCTTTTGGAGAATAAGTTGTCTTCATGTTGACTAAAGTTATTATTACTACTATCAGTATGTAAGGGAATCTACAAGCTTATAGGGAAAATTTGTTTGGTGGAGATAGACGTGATAAGAACAAAACTCAGAGAGTAAGGAGGCATCTTAAGAGCCGAAATAAACTGACATTATATAGTATTACCTCACCAAGGCACAAAAGATACGTTTCACATCTGAGTTGAGGTGGCTAACGAAAAGGTAGACTTGTAGCTACATGACAGGGAATGAATGGCCTATTTTTAGGTTTCAAAGACTGTTTATAGTATTTCTGGCTTTAGAAAATCACCACAATACGAAAATGGTCTTTTTATATGTTAAAGTCAACAGTTCAACTTGAGAAACAAGTTACTGTTTTTAATTTTTTTAATCACCGTTTTTATGCAAAATCGATTTTATTAGCAAATACCTTTTATTGGTAAGCATACTAAAAATATAATTAAAGTGAATGGACAAGAATCATTGTAAAAGGTAACACTAAGCATGTTGTTTTATATTGATGGGTTTTTCATCCGTTAGAAATCCGTGAGCAAATGTGAAGTTTCATGAGACTCACACATCTCGAAAATGCGAGTGGTATTTACTTGTTTATTAAAAAATTCGAGTACAAGGGAACAAGTTTGAACAAAATTGTAAAAAGGGATGTAGTGTCAATTTTAAAACGATCATTAAGAGACTTAACTGTGAAACTTTTGCCTCGGCAGTTATTATTATTTGGATTGTTTGTAGTATATGAATTTGTCCAAAAAACTATCAAATATTCATATATTGAGTGATACTAAGTCAATTTTTATGCTAACTCCATGTGAAAGAAGTAATTTTCAATCATAAGCAGTCTGACAAGAGGTGTCTTTTAAAGAGAGTAGGAAACGCAAATAGCAATAACTTATTGTCACACAGTAAATTATCATCATTTAGTGTCTTACATTGATATTTGTTACTCAATAGTCGGACCTGTGTCATATACCTCACCAATTAAGCTTGATGCTTTTAAAATAGAAGTTTATTTATTTGAAGTTGAAAGTGAAATTTTCTAGTTCCGACTGCTTGTGAAGCTGCTCTTTAGACAGCACTTGAAATAGTATAATATTATTCAAGGTAACTAAAAGGCTCATTATATTTTGTTAATACCTGACTGGCGTTAGGATAAGGAGGTGAGGTGATCACATCAATTTAGACGCTTATATATATATATATATATGTATATGTATATAAATATATATATATATATGAACCGAGAGGTTAAATAGAGTTATTTCAAAAGGGTATGAACATGCTCACTTGAGATATTGAATACAGTATAATTGATAACATAATTCGCCACCAGCTGGTTCCGAAATACGCCAAGTTGAAATATGCCAGTAATTCGAGCACAAAAATTTGAAGCATCATTGTACCAAAGAATAGTTTGCTTCCATCAAATAGTCCCTAATATTGAGATTTTCATGCATAAAAGAAATAAAGCTAACCTAAATTCAGCAAAATATTAGTGAATAAATACAATTTCTAGTAGTAGTGAACAGAAACCCGGTTAAATCGATTAAGTTTATACAAATTGCATTTGATAATTTCTTTGTTTACAGAGACAGAGCTACTTCAGTTTAAGATACAAGCGTACAAATTGTAGGTTGCTGAAAATGGGTTCGCCTACAAATTCACACCATCTAACGCCAAAGCTTTGGAATTTGGATGATTAAACACCTTAGAAACTATTGATGTATAAAGTGGTGTTAAGGGCTAAAATTAATGCAAAGATATACATTCTTATATATTCTCTCAAGAAGAAATATTAATTCGCGAAGCGTTAGTGAATTATTGATGAGTATGGTTTGTAAAATCAACTGATAGATGGAATGACAAATGATAGTCTTTCGAGAGCTGGTATAGTTGGTTAATTCGAAAGGTTTGTTCCTAACACATAGTTAAATGGCATCATTTAGCTAGTGTTAAAAAATTATTATTTGAAAAATAGATTGATCTCAAAGTTTTTCATAGTGGCCTCATTATTTTTTAACATCTGTGAGAATAATTCCAGATATTTATCAATTATGTCTTACTTAGCCGTATGAAAAAGTTTAATAATTGAAATCTCCGTAATGTTTTTCGTTACGAAGAGTCCTAAAAATGTCTTTATCTATCCCATCAAATTCTTTGTTTTTAAATAAAGCTATATCTGAATAACTTAACACCTGTCAAGACTAAAATGTACTTAGATCAGGGATATATGGAATGTTCGTGTTAATACAATCTGATTGACATTTAAAAGCCTAACTGGGAACCAATAATATTTTATTAAAAGCAACCTGAATACATGATGAAATCTTTTAGGACAAGTGACGAAGTCCTTCGTACCTGCTACAAAAAGACGAAAATATGGTGAGTATAATGACGGATAGACGATTAACTGGTGATCATATTTATCGGTCATCAAATGAAAGGCTCAAAATAACTTTCTGTATAATTTTTACCCAGCAAGCCTTCACAGTACACCGTGGATTTCAGATGGTGTTTTAATTACTTGCCATAATGTGCTGTTTATATAAGCAGCTCATTGAGTGGCAACAGAAAACATGATGTCCGTGATATGAAGAAATACAAAATAAAGTCACTAACAATACTTGAATCTTACCTGCTGAACTAGAATATTACGTACACCTTCTAGATCCTCGTGGTACTCCTTAATTTTGGAATTTATATCTTTGTCTTCTGGACAATCTTGGTCCAGATCTCCGACGTAGTATGCACTCAAAAACTTTTCAGCATACTGACGATTTTTGTGAAATGCAATGAACGCACCCTACAAATTTAAGTGATATTATTATATTTTAAATTACTGTTGCGTCTTGACCGGCGTAGTGACCGAGAACTTTGCGACCCCCAGGATGTCTATTCTGCCAACTTGATACGTCATAAACCTTGTTGTCAATAACAATCCAACGATCTTTCAATGACTGATGCTTTTTTACTTCTCCCCAATTAAGACCTTTGGCCATCCGGAGTTCGCGAAAACCCAAAAGTAGTATTAATACTACGCGGAATGCACAGTACACAATATTTTCTACAAATAAACACCACTAGCATTGTTCAATTTACATGTCAGATTATACCCTAACATTTTTATTCACAGCACGTTTATTGACTTTGAGAAATGATGAGGGGTGATAATGTGTTGGTCTCCAAGACACCTGATAAAAATTCCTGGGTGGGGGTGAAGTTGTAAAGGTCGTAGTACAGCAGGTTTGGGGTTTATCTTGTCATGATTTATCTTATAGCTCACAATCCTCTCCCTTCTATGACATCATTAATAGGAATAAGTCCGAAAACACGATTAAGGAAGCATCCTATTTTGACGGAAATTAAGAGAAATAGGATGCAAATTCTCACCAACATTTTTCATGGTTGTAGGATTCGCTACCAAAAATAGTAACGTCATTTTCCACCGAATCTTTCAAAAATTCTTCGAAATTTTCTTTAGTTCCTTAGGTACTGAGTACATTGCCCCTACTACAACTCCAATGATTGGCTAAAGTGTGAAGACAAGCTGAACAGTTAACTAAATATCGCAGATGCCAGGAATGTGCAACGCGGACTTGTTAACTGGCTTTCATATACAAGGGCTCGCAGCAGCGTTTCAGCTTAATACTTATCGTACTTGTTCTTACTAATGAATGCTGTTGTCCACAAAAAATATTTATTCTGGCGGATTCACCCGATTATCTGTAGAGTAATCCGGGTAAGGTAATAGTAACTTTGAAGAGCGCCGACGTGAGATGGAAGGTCACGCCATTCTCGTTATGCTGAAGTTAATCAACTACCTAAATAGACAACTAACATTTGTAAAATAAAAACGCATTGGGTATCAATTTTCAAAAGGATAAACCCCTTTGTAACTAAGGACGCTCTGGATTTGCCACTTCTGTATAGAAAGAAATTAAATTTAAGTTACGGGGCAACATTTAGGTAACGATCATTTGAGTTTTGTGCATCAGTAGATTTTAACAACAGCAGTTGTGCTCCCTGTGCTTGCTAAATTACGTCCTCAGAAAATGTTGACTGAAAATCATCGCTGAAGTCCACGACATGAAGAGGATGTTTCATAAAATACATATAGATGTGACAGCAGCTACTTCAAACTTTTCTGTGCAGCATGCTCTTGGTTATTCAAGGTCAGCTGTAGACTGAAAAAATATGAAGTTTGGGGTGAAAAAAACACATTGGTTCTTTTGAATCCGTGTTTATACATTGACTCTCTCAAAGAATCACCGAGGAGATCCAAAAATCATTAAGAAATCTGAAACAATTAGGTGGACGGTTCATAGCGACTGAATAAAAATGGATGTAAATTACCACAGATAGATATGCAGCTGTGAATACATCCTCAAACTACATAGTTCTGTTAGCCTTCAATATTTGATGCTGACCTCATCAGTTTTACTGCACACACATAACTGGAGGCGCTCGGTCACGTATCCACACCAGCTCACGAGTGGGTACGACGTGCTACGAATCGCTTACAACTACTAGCCAGTTTAGATTAAATGCTCCCCGATGTGTCTATAGCCTCCCAAACACATATCCGAACTTCACTTCTAGCTTGTGATTTGACTGGCTTGGTATATTTCGATTGTAAAGGTGTTACGTGTAAAGGTGCTATCAAACTTCGAATACCCATGGCATTTTTAAGATCTTGTTGATATCTCGATGAAATGGATGAGTTTCTTATTCGTGGTGAAATGCCCAACAATGTTGAGCAGGCTTAATGAACAGACCAAAAATTAACAAATATAAGATCTAAAGCAGCACTTTTCCTGTTTGCTTCGTTGAAAGATAGATTTCACAGTAGTTTACAAGATTAAAATTTGTCCTACAGAGTTAAACAGACATGGATACTATTATACAGACTTCAGCATAGTTCCCAACTTCCATCACAAAATTTGACTTTGGGGCTTCCGAATGTCCCAGTCTGCATATAACTATGTTACACAAACCTGGTGAAGGTAATGGTTTATTAATCTGACTCAGAAGTTGAAATTCTACTAGGTGATTGAGTTGGAACATAAAGGTTGCGAATATCCTGAAAAATATGCGGGCTCTTGCTAGACACTTTGAGCAATAATGCGAGACATTTCAGGATTCTTCTGTTAATCTTATGTTAAGATATTGACTCATGACTGTTTCAAATCAAGGCTTGAATGTGAAGATAGTGAATGAACTAGATAAGCTTTTTGATAATCCCGTTTATCTTGGTATTCCCACCAAGTTTATTAGATTGGTTCTTGATCAAGTCTTGGGAGCTATTCATGGAGTTAAATGATTTTCACTGAAGTCCTCGGTCTGCGGATTCTATAGGTTACAATAATTTGATATGAACTTATACTTAGAGAAAGTAACTAGAATATTAGTGTAGGATTCTTTCTTTCAGCAGGCATTGTATTTTCTACCTTTCACGGTGGCATTAAAAAAAATTCGTTTCTCTCATATACCAAACACTGCCACGTGCTTGAAAGCATGTTAGGAATATACATATACACATAGATAGTCCAGTTGTTAGTTACTTTTTACTGACAACAGGAATTTTACTACAAGACGTGTTGTAAGGTCGGCGAAATATCGTGAAGCACCAAAATGACTATTCATTAGGTTAAGTCTGTTAAACGTTAGAGGGGTGATGACTAGACGCTGAACTGTTCGCAAAATATTGTCAAGGCCAAAGATAATCAATATCACTAGACTAAATCAGAGATATGTTCGCCATATATTATTCCGTTTATTCTCTTTAATTATCTACTCTACGACTTCAAACAGGAAGAGTTGCTCCCGAATTATACGATGGAAGTAAGATATACTGAAACCACGTCAGTCACGTCAGAAAATATAGAATTCGCCGTGGTTTGGCTTTGACGTAGTATTACGTAGGTTAAGCGTTCACATCACTATTACCAGTTCTAGTTGGCTAAACATTTACACATCTTTCCACCCATTAATGACCCGAAAATTCGATTTCCTGACCTATTTCTTTGAAATACTACTTTTACAGTGAGAGGGTTTTCTTGGGTTACTAGTGCATGGAATTAAATGTTTTCCAATCTTTCTATTACTGTGATGAACTAATGCAGTAAATAATATTGAGGTCGGGCGCAATATAGTGTGCGGAAACTGAGACTTTGTTGAGGGGGAGCTTAAAGTGGTTAACCAACATCCACCTTAACAAACGACAGTACTTGACGGAATCATATAGCGAGGTAACTAAAGAACTATAAACCGAGGCGTGTTGTCAATCCATTTTATGATTAGCCTCTCACCCAAGCCATGGGTTTGAGGATACATGGAGACATGACAATGCAGAACATCATTGAGTTATACAGTCAAGGAGCTTTTATGGAACATCTTTCTTGTACCCGAAATACACCCATTTTATAAACATATGTAGACTATTGATCGTAATGATATTATATGCCTGACCTATAAGAAACAAATAATACTGGTAAAAGCTGACTTTGTACATCAAATGCTTTCTGAGTGATGGCACCATCACAATACACTACAGAAAAACTTCCATACATCGCCGTTTCGTCTTTCCTTTGTCGTCCCGTATACACAAGTGTATGCTCTGCCTTGAAGTGACATTGAGAAGTTATTGTATCCTCACCGCTCATAACTTGTACTTGAAAATAATGAAGAACTACTGAAATTTTCAGGACGCGGAATAAAAAAGTCAAAACTGGTAGGAGTGGGAATTTATTCGCCCACAAGATACAGCGACACTAGTCGAGAATACACTCATTATATATTAAGTGCCTATCCTGTAAAATCAATGGTCAGAAGAGAAACTCGAAGATATATTTGATAGGTTATCGACATGTCGATAAATAATCAATCTAAGCTGTATAACGGTCGTGGGAGATGTGAAGCATGACGTACCCACTCGTGATCTGGTGAGGATGCGTGACCGATTGCCTTCAGCTAAGTGAGTTCATTGAAACTAATGCGGTTGGCAACAAGTGTCAACGTGTTGCAGAGCTATTGATTTTGGGGACTTATTCAGGGCTACAGATTACTCCCTTCAGTATTGGAGTGTTCATGACCCTAAAAGGTGACCAGCGAGTGTGCCGCTGTCGAACGCTCTTCTCATATCTCGCTATGTTCTGCGGCATCTTGTCGTCCTTCCTTACCACAAGAGGCCATGTCGTGCAATGAAAATTTCGATTAATTGCAAACTTCGTTTTTTTCACTATTTCGGGCCGTCCTGGAAAAGAGAAAGGATTTGTAATTGCATATGGATTTACACTCGTACGTGCGTAAAAGCACAAAACGGGTGAAAAAAGAAAATACACATATATACATGCGTTTTGTAAACATACATTAGCGTAAAAAGGATTTTCGCAGAATGAATTTTTTCGGATTTTTGTTTGAAAAAAAATATATATATACATATAAGAAGGCATGTTGACAACGAAAAAGTTGTTTTCGTTTTTCTGGAGTAAAAAGAATAAACTTATATGAACGTATTAAAAATAGGTTGTTTTTAACATAATACAAAAGATTGAGGCGAAACAAGATAGTAGGTAGTGTCTTACATGCAATAAACACTCAAGTGTTTTGGAAATCTTACTCGTCCTCCACAATGCGTTGTTTTGAGCCTGTTGTCAGATGCCACCGGAGGTCGTGACTGTTGTTTATCGGCTGGGGTATCGTACTTGTGGCATTCGTGTCTTTCGGTTGTACGAAAGGGAAATCGATATGAGTAGAGTGTCCTCCCAACTACACTATGCTATCGCTCGTACCATTCTTATCGATGATATGGTACTTGGATTCACGCTGAAGGACTTTGAAGGACCCTTCGTGTGCCGTTTTGAGAGGTCAGCGAAGGGAGTCGTGACGCACGAAAAGTGTGAACCATATAGTATGGCAGGTTGAATGAAAACATCGGTTGATTGCGATCCAGTGGAAACAGGTTGAGCCGAACACATGGTGCTTGTAACCCTGCTCGTGTAAGGATTTAGATTCATATTCATCGAAGAGGATGATAGGTCCGAGAATTCCCC